GATTCGATAGGTCGTTGATGTGAGTCTCAACGTACGAAAACGTGCGTACTATATCGTAAGTCAGGTTGAACGAAAACATCAGTTGATTGCAGTCGAATGGAAACAGGTTTAACTGAACGCATTGCGTTTGTAAGCCTGTTCGCGTAGTAGGTTAGATCCATGTTCAACGAAGAGGATGAAGGATTCACGAATTCTCCTGGAAGTCAAAGGGTCGTACCATAAACGAGTTGAGACGCAGTGTATCCAATTTCCGCTTTCACTGCATTTCGAATACATAGTAAGACGAGTGGAAGAGCGTCAGTCCACTGAGAAATGTTTGAGGCTGATAGTGACGCTTTTAGTTGTCGGTGAAAATGCTTACCAACCCGTTCGGAAGTGAGTGATTCCTAATTTTGCGGTTAGACAACGGAACAGTTCACATTCAAACTGACGTTTACGATCTGTAGTGCTTGTTGTTGGGCAGCCGAAGTTTGCTACCTATCGTTCGACGAAGGCGCGGGCCGCTGTTTCAGCAGTGATGTCTTTGATAGGCACTGCTTCTGACTATCGAGTAAAACGGTCTAGGCAGGTTAAAAGATAAGAATATCCATTTGAATCTGGTAAAGGTCTCACCAAATGAACATGGTTGAAGCGAGCATCGGGAGTGTTAAACGAGCCTAGTGGACATTTGTTATGTCAAATCACCTTAGATTTCTGGCAGCTTACACAGAAACGTGCCCACTCCCTCACGTCTTTATTCATACCAGGCCAGCAAAACCGTTCTGCTATAAGCTTGATGGTTGCACGAACACCTGTATGAGAAAGTCTGTGCAACGTAATAAATACGTTGCGTCGATAGTGTTTTGGCACGATTAGGCGATCCCTACCTGTAGATGTGTCACACAGTAAGGTTTCCTTACCTGTTCACATCTGTTTAATTCGCAGTTTAAGTGTTGTTGAGGACTACTCGTGCTGAAGATCACTGTCTTCTTTTTGAAGTTGGGCGAGTTTAAAAAGTTCGATTCCTTGGAAACTGCTCAAGGAATTTATACGAGACAAGGCGTCTGCGACTACATTGTTTGCTCCAGAACTGTGTCGAATATCTGAAGTATACTGCGAAATGTAGTCCAGTTGTCGAGACTCACGTGGTGAGTACTTGTCTGAGGATGAGCTTAAAGGGAAAGTAAAAGGTTTATGGTCGGTAAAATGGTGAAGTCAAGGCCTTCGATATAGTGTTGAAAATGCCGTACAGCACAACACATAGCTAGGAGTTCGCTACCGAATGTGCTGTACCTTGATTCAGTGTCTAGCAACCGTCTAGATAAAAATGCCAAAGGTTGCCAGGAGTGGTTAACCCATTGTTGTAAGACTGCTCCGATTGCTGAGTCGGATGCGTCTACTGCGATACTAATGGGCGCTTCAGGGTCCTGATGAGCAAGCATGGTTGCTTGAGCGATACGTTCCTTAACCGTGGAGAATGCTTTTCGTGTAGTGTCATCCAGATTGATGGATTTCGCATTTCCAAGAAGTTGGTCGGTAAGGTGTTTCATAATTTGGACGCATTTCGGTATGAATCGTCTATAAAACTTACCAGACCGTTAAACGTGCGCAATTGCTTGATGGTGGTCGGTTCTGGGTAATCCAGAATGGCCGTCACTTTGGTTCTAAGAGGTCGGATGCCTTGCGCATCGATAGTGTGTCCTAGGAAGTCTAAGGAGTCGGTTCCGATTTGGCATTTCTGAATGTTTACGGTAATGCCATGTTTTTGTAGTCGGTCGAAAACAAGGTCCAGATGCTGGAGATGTGATTCGCTGTCCGGACTTGCTATTAGACAGTCATCAACGTATGCATGTACGAAGTTGAGACCTCGAAAAACGTCATCTATGAACCTTTGGAAAGTCTGTGCCGCGTTTCTCAGACCGAAAGGCATTCGCAAAAATTCATAGAGTCCGAAGGGCGTTATAATAGCGGTTTTTGGAATGTCTTCAGTGGCCATAGGAATTTAGTTATAAGCTTTTACCAAGTCGATTTTCGAAAAGACAGTTGTACCTTTCAAGGTAGCTGTCAAATTGTGGATGTGGGGCAACGGGTAACGATCGGTTATGGTTTTCGCATTCAATCGCCGGTAGTCACCAGTTGTAAGCCAATCTCTGCTGTCCTTTTTAGGGACCATGTACAACGGAGATGCCCATGGGTTGTTTGACGGTCGTATGAATCATAAGTTTATCATATGGTCGAATTCGTTTTCCGCCAACCTTAACTTTTCGTGGGCCGGTCGGCGTGCTTTAGAGAATACAGGTGGTCCTGTAGTCGTGATGTTATGTGTAACGTTGCTGGTTAAATACGGCAATTTCGGTTGCGATTGGTAAATGCCAGAATATTTATCGAGTAGTGGTTGGTAGAAGGGGTCCATCGTGTGCTTAATAGTGACAGTAGATAACCTGCAAGCAGAAAAAGAAGTTAGGCAAACAGATAAGTTAGTACTTCCATCTACTAGCCTTCCTTTACGCGTATCGATGATTAAATTGTGGTGCTGTAGAAGGTCCATGCCAATGATTGGCAAAGAAACATGCGCAACAACAAAGATCCAGTGAATGGGTTTGCGTAAACCCACGTTAAGATAAACATACCTTTTGCCATACGTAGCGATAGGCTTTCCGTTCGCCACCTGTAGATTTAAAACCGACTCGTGAAGCCGGTCGTTAGAATTTGCTGGGAGAACGCTAACTTCTGCGCCAGTATCGACGAGGTAGCGAACTCTCGTTATCACATCAGTGACATATAAAAGACGGCTATGTTCGCCGGCTACGGTCGCCGTTAACGCGGTGCGGCTTGGAAGTTTCCCGAAACGTTCTTCGCTTTGGGAAAATTGCAGGGTTTTCTGCAATTTCTTGCGGACTTTCCATACTGGTTATGGTACCAGCACCAATCAGGATTTTCCGTCTCTCGAGTTCTAGATACAGATCGCCTACGTGATGTGCTTCTCCGCGGGGTGTGTGACCGTTTACAGTCGTTACGGAGCTTGAGATAGCGAGTAAGTGTATGACATAATTCTGTTATGTCATTCTGGGTGGTTTGAGGCTTTTATTCGACTGAAAAAACCCCGGCGTTAGAAGATCTAGTGATTTCAAGGATGCGGTCGGCAGATGCAGCCAGCTCGTCTACGGCGTTGTTTTGTAACGATACCAGCACAGCTTGCACCTGTTGAAGAAGTTTTGATAAGAAAAGCTGTTTGAATAGGCCATCATCGAAGGTTCTTTGGCCAACAACTCTCATCTTTGCAACATGTCTGTTGCAGAGCCGTGTTGCAGGTCAATGTTGTTAAGGAGTTGGTCTTGTAGAGGTTAATCAAGTTTGTTGAGATAAATTTCCTCTATATTCGACTCCAACAAAGGATATCTCATTAACCGAGTACTTAACGCAGGCTTAATCTTCTAGTAGAATTATCGATTTACTCGAGATTATTCAAAAGCCCAAACATCAGTTATAGAGAGAGTTTATTGTTAAAGCTTGGTAAAATCCGCAAGCATACAGCAAGCAAGCACCGAGTGAGACAAAAATCAAAGTGTGTGTGTCTGTATTAAAAATCCATATATATTTTTGATTATCAATCAAGTGTAGATAAATTATTGATTATCTATGTGTCACAACCAATGGGGAATAGAATAGGGATTGAAGTGCAGACACACGCTCAATCATACTCATATGGAAATTAACACAGTGTGGTAGACAAATAATACATTAATGGAATGGGCTTGCTACAGTCTAACCTTTTCCGATCGGTTAAACCACCGCGTTTAAGGATGGCATGTTTGTGGGTTTTGTATGGGTCAGAAACATCACTAGTAAACATACTAGGTGTTACGTACCTGTTAAATTCGCGCGGTAGTGCCTTGACTACTGCGAAGAATTGTGCGCGTGTGTCGTTCACACCGTGCTCGTAGAAGTCGGCTTATGCGCAGCAAAACCAGGCTTAGATGTTGTCTGGCCAGAAGGGCATAAGTTGGAACGAAGGTGAGGACACAGGCTTTAACCTAAATACCTTAGGTGTCTGTTCAGTCATATTAATATATCAGGTACGAAAAATGAACGAGTTGGAAATATATATATATCTGAAAACACGGAAAGAAATCACAATGTATAAAAAATTAAAATAAGACAATAATATATAAAATCCCAAAATAGAACAGACTCACAGTTTGCAATTTGGTGTACCAGATCACGTCGGGCTGACCAATGAAGATGCCACAGGTATTCGGAGTTTGACAGCGCTTTAACCAGTAACACTTTCTAATATGAAGCCCACCCACCAAGTAAAATCAAAAGACAGAAGCAAGGGGATGGAAGATATATTTGATAAGCTATCAATATATCGAGGGTCGTTTGCAGTTATCTGGCTAGCGATTGCGGCAGATGTTGAGCACAGCGTTCCCACACGTGATCTGGTGCGGATGCTTGACCGAGCGCCTTCAGCTAGATGAGTCCATTAAGACTAATGTGGTCAGCATCCAATGTCGAAAACTTACAGAGCTATTTCTTTTGGGGATTTAATTACCGCTACAATAATATTGTAGGTAATTTGCTGGAGTCCAACGATCATGGTTCAAAAATCAGAAGCGTGTATGATTTCGAAAATGTCAGAGGCCTAGTCTCATCTAACTAGCAACATATTAGAATTATATACTGATCATTAGTGTTCTGAAACAAGTAAGAAACTTTTCGACACTTGGTGACCCAAATGCCTGATGATTTGGCTAAGGTTTAGTGATATTTCGATTGCTCTATAAGCTAAGGAATCGTGTATGGTTGTTTTCAGTCGGGTTATTTACTTACCCGACCGTAACAGACTCCAACATAATTATTCAAACGATATTTCGTAAAATGTTACGTAGCAATGAACGACACGTAATAAACATAGTTTATATTGTTAGCAACTACTTTGATGGTTTTCAAACATCAGCAAACTACATAAACATACAGACAGCTCAGGACCATGCTAGAATATACGGACTCAACCAACCACAAGCATTCTGGACGTTCAAGGTTATGTTAGGAAAAGCGCGGTCGAGTTTGGGAATAGGTTCCAGTTGATTCGTAGTATCTTTCTAGGTAATTCTGCAGGAGTACAGGCCAAAATGTTGATGAGAATAGGTAAGACGACCAATTTAAATGTTGAATCTCAACCGTTTAGACTCCTTAAGGTAGTCGTAGTGTCGTATGAACATTTTGCTAACCATTACCCGAAGTTATAGTAACACCGATATTCAAATAAAACATGATGTCTCTAGAATATAGAATAAACAGGAAGGTGGCTGTAACCGGACTAGAAATCCGTCGACATAATGGTGAGGAAGATCTCCACATAGTGAACTTGCGAGAAGTAGTAAGAATAGATGCGGGAAAGGCTGCGATGTCACTATGTACATAGGCAATAATATGAACATCTGTTTCTTCGTTTGTGAGTCTCATGATAGTGGAAGTTATAGAGTTATTAGCCGTGAACCCGCTTTCGAATGTTGTACATTTATACCCGTTGTTATCTATCATAGTCCAATCTGATTAGTTGATAATTTTATTTTAGAGCACATCCAACTATGGAGTAAAAATAACAGATGCTTGGTATTAAACTAGATCGGGCTGCATCTAAAGATAGGAATATTCCTGTATATGTGATTTCCATCGATCTAAGTAGAGCCTTTGACGAAGTCTCTCGTTTGGGGGTTCTATCAACGTGCGGATTTGTAAGAAGTAGAGTTAGCCAGGTTACAATCGTCGGTTCTCTTCTATTTTTATTTTATGTAAACAACTTATCAGTTGTAGCAAAGTCATCGGTTCTACTCTTTGCAGATGGCATAAAGACTTGTAGACACATACTGTATTTGTGATAAGATAATACTACAGGGCGACTGAAATTCACTGGGTACATGGATGGGCAGGTGATCATTGAAAGTTAACTTTATCAAGAGTGTGGTGATGCAAATAGGTAACTGAGACGATTCATATTACTACACAATATGTGGAGTTGTGTTACCTAAAATAATGGGATATAAAGATATAGGAGTCATAATAAGCAACGACCTCAAAATTGAGTAACTGCAAGGCTTCTGCTGTCAAAGGTTTCAGGGTCCTAAGGGCTTTTCGTAATCACTTCATTACTTGGACGAAGAGATGGAATATGGGATTCAGGCAGCGAGTCCTTGTTTCAAATATGAGACGCATATTCAACGGCGAGGGGACATAATGGTAAAAAGTCTCTTTGGTCTATCTTATAAAGGCAGACTACGACGTCTCAGCTTACTTCCGTCATCTTGCCACAGGTTACAGAGTGATCTACTACTGACCTACCGTATATCAAATGATGACCTCGGTTTTAATATGATTTATCTTTCCTTTCTATTTAGGATAGATCACTTGAGAGGACATTATAAAGCTCAAAAACCGCGATAAAATATTTTACATCTGCAGCTTCGTTTTTCACACCGAGTAGTGAATTACTGGAATTCTCTACCAGAACACGTAATATCAATAACTTCTGTTCATACATTCAAAGCGAGATCCAACCTCCACAGCGTTACAAATTGCAAGGAATAATATAAGTCGATAGACCTATCTTTACTACTACAGACTGAGTTTACTAAGTATGGTATGTACTTTACATTTTCGAAATGCATCTTTGTAAGATCGGTAGAAGCCCGTAACTACAATCACCCTGTGGTGAATTTTCGGAACTAGTCTAAACATTCATGTCTGAGTGGTTGTGAGTGTTGATGGTGGCTTCTGAACCATGCGTTACTTGTCGATGATGGGAGTAAAGCAAAGAGTTAGTTAGCTTGTGACATGGCATACTAGTACAGGCGATACCATGTAGGATTAGTTTCTACTGGGCCATCGCGGGTTCTTAACTTGAAGTTGTAGGGATCAGATAGCTCATTTGCTCCTGATGTCATCAGACAACGATCAGAACAAAAGCCAGTGGCCGGTCTAATGGCTTTTTATTGCAGTCCTCATACGAATGAGATGAACCTTCCTTACTAGACGGAATGTATTACAGCTGTTTTTCAACTAAACTGTACCTTATATTAAATTGTATTTTCTATTTACATGACCTTCCATCTTCTATTTTTCCGAAAAATTATCGCCTCACTCTATGCGACTTAGTCGTGGACTGCCCTCTTGCACTAAAATTTTCCAAGTGTTGAAAAAATACCGCTACATAATCAGTTTGTATTCACAGATAATTCGTTGCTATATCTCTCCAGGATAAAAAATGTTCCACAAGTTCGTCCTTGCCAAAAAAATAAACGGTTTTCAGACAACATTTGTAGCAAATAATTCGGTTTACCCACTGACCGTCTCTAGGTACCAGCACTTCGGACTAAATGTCTCTCTTAACTTCACGGGATAGGAGTGAAGTTGTGTGGGAATTATTTCTTAAATTCCGTATGGGCTGTACTTAGTGTAAATTCAAAGGGATAATAAATAAGCTCTAACATTCTGACTAGAACTTACATAACCTTATTTCATCAAATAGCGCATTGGCAATTATTGACTAGGATTCAGTTTGGAAGTATCCGTTTGACTTGAAATGAATGCTAACACGAAAGGTCGCTCTCGAGTCAGAGACTCACACCACTTATCCAAAGTTTAGTGAATAAAACTCGTGAGAGTTTCAAGGACATCGGAGATCCTTACCCATCTATTGTGTTAACATTTCTGAAAGCTATGTCTAATTTCCGATCCACTTAATATACTCCCATTATCTTTTATCTACATAGTGTTGAATCATCAAGTTACTTTTCTTGTTATGCAGATCTAAAAATGGAGTACATTGACAAACTCCCGGATGAGCTATGCTGCAAGCCTAAACCTTTGATCGTATTTTCCGGTTTGGATACGGAAAAAAATCAAGTCCATCGGTCTATTTGGAGAGCCTTCAATACTAGTAAAAGCCATGACCGAGATTCATTTAAATTTCGCTGCAAATCAGTTGACCACCAGTTTCCAAAGCCAAAGTACAAGGTTTGTTGTTCGTTTCAATTAATGTTTCTTATAGTCTTGTTATGCAATTCGTTATATGACTATTAGGAAGGGTTCGGATTACCCTCATGTTGATAATCGTCTCAGATGGGATGAAATGCGCTTGTCTTATATAAGTTGGTTATATGCTTTCATATTTTATTGGTGGAATAGCCATCATTATGGAGTAATGGATATTGGTTGTAATCGCTTTTGTTTTCCGCATTTCACCATTTTGATTGAAATAGTAAGACACTACAATATAAAGTCAAATACATTTCGTATCGAGTTTCACATAATCTCTTATAAATGATCCAATTCATCTACCGTTGGTCAAATGAATTCCCACGGATATAGGCATTAAAATTGGTTGGTCAAAACACGTAAATGCGGTTCGGATAACTAGCTAGCTTGGCAAGATTCTTGTATTTCGAGTTCATAGTTCCAGATATATGAAGTTCCAGTCAATAGTCCCCCATTTTTCATCGCACAACAGTCCTTTCATTAAGTCCGGGCTTTCCTGTAACTTTCTCGTTAGTGAATAAAATGTCCAAACAACGAGTTTTTATATCCAATTAATTTTATATTTAATTCTAGGCATTGAGATTCAAAAAACTAATAAAGGTCAATTAAAAAATATCTCAATAAATATATGGCGGTAATTAAAAAATAAGGTAGGAAAAAATAGTCTAAACTAAGTTGTCACATCGTCCTAGATCTTAAAACAGATTAAACATTGTCAAGACAGATCCAAGTTTAGGAAGAACATTTTTGTATTTAAAGGACAATTAATTTTTCTGATAACCAAGCTTCTATGAGCTTAAAAGTGCACCCCTGACAGTCTCTATACGAGCCTTCAAAGCTGCTACAAGGTCGATCCCATGACCTGTTTCAATTATGTTTTGGAACCAAGGAGTATGGTAGTTTATTGAAGCATCTGAGACCAAAGGATCATTACGGTATTTTGGAGCGTGTTTCATCACGTTTTTGATTGCGAAATTTGATTACTCTTTCCTGTTTGTGAATTGGTAAATACAGTAGAATATGGTGATCATTTATATGGCGTTTATGCCTATGCAGAATTATGGGCTTTTAAATAGCAACCAGTTATACAACATATTTTTCGATGGATGGCTTTAATCTACTTCAAAATCATGCTGATTGATTCTATCTTATAATGTAATTTCACGTAACTGACTGAACACATAGATATATTGGTACATGGAGGCACCAAATACATATGCGCCACACAGATCTCATTTGATTTGTGTGAGGGCTGTGATACTGCCCGGGTGCCCAAACAGAAGCAGGTGGTTTTCTTAGGGGGCCACACCCCTTTTTAAATGAAACAATCAGGAAGAGTTCCAGCTGTATCAACTTTAACGGATATTTGTTTATTGTTGATGTTTCAGTCACCAGTTCCGTATTCTCTTCAGTCGCATCTGCACTACAGATTCGTGAAATTCTATTAAAGGCATTTAATAAAGCCTCGTTTGTACTGGAGTGAACAGAAACTGTGGAAGCCTAGATATTAATCAGTTTAGGTAGCCTTTTTACAAGCTAATCTTATGGTTGCTTAGTTTCTGACATGAAGTTTGTCGAAAATTATGGCTCAAATCACACTTTTCAGATTAACTCTAGCTTCTTATTACAGTATTGGTATTTATTAGTAGGATTAATAGTTTTGAATGATTCTTTAAAAAATTACATATTAGGTTATTTCTCGATCAATCATCGGCTAGTTGGATGTGTTGTTGGTAAATAATCTTTCGGAAAGATCATATTTCTAAGCTTTCCTTAGATGATATAAACAATAACTGATGTTCATTTATCTTGAACTGAAATGTGAAAAGTTCAGTTTGACTGTGGTCCCAGTGAGAATTTATCAATGTTTCACCTTCCCTAAAATTTATAAGTTTTCCTTTAATGTCTATTAATATTTCAGCAACTGGCTTCATATGAATGGCTTATGCCAAAAGGCATACTCAAAACTGGTTGGATGAAAAAACATCTTGAAGAAATACCTGCATTCGTTGCTTTATTTTACGATCTAGATTGGGACGAACCACAATGGGGAGAAAGGTCAACTGAATGCGCTCAAATGGTGGCAACTGTTCGGTTGGTATTTTGTTTTTGTTTATTTACTCATGATAACTGAATTTAGATCAAAACTTGCTGGTCGCGAAAGTAAATTAGTGGTCATTCTTATACAAAAACGTGCCCCCTTACCTTTGGGTGAAGATCTTAATGCCATGGATCGAGCTCAATCTCTTTGTAATAAGTGTGATCTTCCTGGAAAGAATTTATTTGTTTTGTCGCATACAAACTTACTTTATGGATGCATTACAAGGTATGGTTTCTAGTTGATTTACAATGATCCATGCAATCCTGTGTATTTAAATGAGAATAGATAGATTGTAAAATGGAAATATGGGACTAATAAACATCTACTGCTATTCATAACTTTCAGTCGGACGAACAACATTTATTTTCCGTCACTGCTTAACATTATCTATCTAAATTCACGAGTAGATGCAAGAAACATTTGGCGTTCAAACTTTAACAACTCGGTGCCAGGTTCCCTTAAGTCAGTCAGCTTTCTAACAGTAATATAATCTGTTCAACTCATTATGCTAATGTGTTTAGCCTCATCTATTCAGAAAGTAACTGTGTTTCACTCGATATTTCTGTTCGAACAAACAAAGATTTATTACAGAATAGTTGCAGTTCACTTTAAAACGTGCTTCTGATATCAATTAATAATCCTGCTGTATTTTTATTTATTATTTATTTGAACACATAAATATTGGTACAAGAGGGCACCAAATATATATGCACCACACAAAACAATGAGAATTTGAAGATAATAGAAAAGCAACGAAAAAAAGAGAAGGGTAGGGAGCGTTAAAAAAAAGCACAATAACGAACAGATTAGTGTAAGGTAGTGTAATAATGATAATAATAATAATAGTAATAATAATAATAATGGGGAAACGGAAAGGTACGATCAGAAGAAATCTTTCAGTTAAGGGAGAAGCATTATCTCACAGTAAGACAATACCATTTGTATACTCAAGGTCGAGAAGTCTCCAGGCGACAGATCTACACCGCCATTACTTACAACCATCAGAGTTGTTTCCAGAATGTCATCGATGGCAAAGTTGAAGAGAAATGGTGAGTTTGGGCAACTCTGCCTAACTCCACTGCTTAAATGGAACAATGGAGAGAGGTGGTTGTGTGCCCTTATTCTGCCTGAGGTGTTTGTGTATAGGGCTTTTAGGATGTTAATAAACTTCTCAGGCACACCCTTCTTCAATAGACAACCCCAGAGAACAGTCCTGTCCAAGGAATCGAAGGCAGCTCTTATGTCAAGAAACACTACGGTTGTTGGCCTTTGATAAGTATGGCGGTGTTCTAACATTTGGTGGAGTGTGAATATATGATCAATGCATCCTCAACCAGAACAAAAACCAGCCTGCTCCTCGCGAGTCAATCTTTCTCGGGTTTTGAACAATCTACGAAGTATGACGGAAGCCAATAGCTTGTACGCATTCGGTAGTAGACTTATCCCCCGATAGTTTTTACAGGAACGACGTGAACCCTTTTTAAAGATAGGGACAACTATCGACTCATTCCATGAGTTTGGTACACACTCTAGTTCCCAGACCTTTGTAAACAACGTCGTCAGTTCTGTAGCCAGAAAGTCACCACCATCTTTAAAAAGAGCCGGAGGTAAGTCATCTGGGTCCGGTGATTTGTAGCGTTTCAAGAGTTGGAGTTCCTTGCGGACTTCCGCCTCATTTGGTGGATCAGTCATCACCGGCCATGGAGGGCAGGACAGTCTGACCGATGCTGCCGGAGCAGCAGGCCAGTTGAACTGCCCTTCAAAGAATTCTGCCCATCGTCCAAGACGTCGATGGATGTTAGTGATTGGCGTTCCGTTATCCTTGCAGATTGTTTCGCTCACACCAGACTTCTTGCTGCCAGTGGCTCGGATGAGTTGGAAGAGCTTCCGGTAATTACCAGATGCAGCTGCTGCTTCCAGTTCATCAGCAAGCTCCGATCACCAGGCATCTCGGTCTTTACGCAAGCTTTGCCCGATTTCATTACGTGACATCCTTCGTCTGTGGTCAAACTCACGGTCACTCGGAGTAGATCGATGGGCTTCGGTGAGTTGTAAGGAACCAGAAGAAACCCAAAGCTTATAAGCGGGACGTTTCGCGAAGCCGCAAGTGGCTTTACTCGCCATTTTAATGGCGTCGTGAAGTTGCAGCCAATGCTCATCAATACTTTTCGGTGGAATGGTAGCTAGCCTAAAAGCTAGCTCGGTTCGATACTTACTAGCAACTGAAGTTGCAACCACCTTGCTAACATCAATCCTTTGGTGGTGGTCACTTCGTTGGCCACAGAAAAGTAATGAGGGATTGGCGCAGACCAGAGCATGATCAGATTCCAGATAGGTACTCCAAAGGGAGCGGCAGTCTTGTACACAACCACGCCAGTGGTAGCTGATCGCGATGTGATCAATCTGAGTCCAGGCTTGAGATGCAGAGGGAGGACTCCAGGTGGCACATCGGCGGTGATTGTGTCGAAAGTTAGTGCTGGCCAGAAACAGGTTGTGGTCTGTGCACAGTTGCAGTAGACGGTCCTCGATATCTGTCCTGCGACCAACAAGTCCCCATCGGCCACCTAAACGACTCTCTTCTGTGCCTAGACGCCCGACCTGAGCATTCAAGTCTCCAGCTAGTACTATAATATCTGTCGAACTCACTTTCTGGAGAAGAACAGTTAACTGGTGGTAGAATTCATCCTTGATTACATCCGGGCTGCAATCTGTCGAAGCATAGGCGGAGATGACGAAAAGTCATGGTTTCTCACGCCGATTTCTTCTCAATTTGATGGAACTTTCTAATCTAACGTCACATAACCGGCTGTTAATGGGCATCCAGTCGATTAGTGCTGCCTCAGCTCTAGCGCTTAGTGCGACAGCAACGCCAGCAAGACCAGACGAAGATGTCACAGGGTCCCCAGATAAACGCACGTAAAACATGCTTTTTGAAGTGACAGATGGAGAGCGAATTTGTAGTACTTCATCAGAGTCTTGAATACGGGTCTCGGATAGACAACAAACGTCAATATTAAGACTTTCCAAAGACATAGCTAGCCCTATCTGTTGTCTGACCTGCATAAGTGTGCGAACGTTGAAGGCAGCCCGTTTGAATGGTGCACGTGGTTTCAGAAAAACTGCTTCAGTATTCGTATTTGGTGGTAGTAGCATACAATTTTCAACCAGGCAGTAACTCGGGAACTTTTAGATAGAACCGAATTCACACCATAAGCGAGCTGCTGTATAAGTCGGAAAATTAGGATACATAAAGTGGTAGTAAAAGAGAGTGAGTAAATGACGTGGTAAATAATAATAATAATAGTAACAATAATAGTAATAATGATGATAATGTGAATATGATTGTTAATTGGATCAACAAAAGTATCTTCCATAAATGTCAACATTCCATCATGTTTGTGTGTGGGCTGTGATACTGCCCGGGTGCCCAGACCGAAGCAGGTGGTTTTCTCAGGGGGCCACACCTCGAGCCTTTGACCTAAAGGTCTGACCCACAAGTCAGTAGAGCATCGTAAGGAGATGCAGTCCCATGGTAGCCATTGACCAAAAATTGGTTCATATGCCATTTGTTCCCGTAGAATAGTGGAGCCCATGGTTTGAGATCCGGTTAAAGCGCCGGACATTCGCTTTTCGTCCTCTCAATTTCATAAACAACACACCCACCACGAGAAGGCAGTGAGTAGGACTTCCCTGGCAGAGGCTGTTTACTCGTGGTCGTGTGAGAGCATTTCGAGTTGGGGCGGGCTCACCTCACTGTCGGCCATACCAGGGAATTTGTGGGCATAGTCCTGTTGAATGTAGCGTAGTTGAATTATCATCCGTTAGCTAATCAATAATCTCTGCGTATGACCATAAAGATTTTGCATCTTATTTGCTTGTAACGTTAATAGACACAGGTCAGGATACAAGCTAGTGTCAATCATGGTGTAATTTTATACTTTCGTACATAAGAGATTGGAAGTTTCGAGGAACGAAGTCCATCTTACTTGTGTTTTTACCTGAATTTTTTCGATAATGTTCCTATTCTTTTTGTTATGATATGATTTCCTCTGCTCTATTTCCTCACGTTCGTCTCAGCCGTTAAGTTCTAGAAGTTGGTTTCCACCAGTGATTTGGAGTTTTTTTTACAGTAGTCCCTCCGAGGACTACTGCCAGTCCCAAGCCCGAATAAAGGAGGACGGTTGGATATGGGGTTAGCGACCCCATCCCGTAGGAAACTAACTCGCTAAAAAATGCTAACCATAAAAAATTATTCAAACCATTTAAACTCTGCCCTGGGAGTCAGGAGGTCTTCGTTTAGAAGAATCATTACGCCTCATGATGAAAGCCGAGTTTCTTCGGAAGTCACGAGGCCGATGCCCCTTCTGACAACCAGAGCAACCATTTATTTAGGCACATGGAATGCTCGTACAATGTGGGAGACCGAGAGAGTTTTCCAAATTGCTGCAGAAATGAGGAGATACAATTTAGAGGTGCTTGGGATCAGTGAAACACAATGGACGCAAGTCGGAAAACAACGACTAACTTCAGGCGAGCTTCTGTCATACTCCGGACATGAAGAAGAAAATGCCCCACATACAAAAGGAGTTGCATTGATGCTGTCCAAACAAGCACAAAATGTACTTATAGGATGGGAATCTCATGGACCAAGGATCATCAAAGCCTCCTTCAAACACAAAGAAAACGGGGATTACAATGAACGTCATCCAACGCTACGCGCCTACCAACAACTACGATGAAGACGCTAAAGATCAATTCTACGATAGACTGCAGTCAATCATCGAGAAGTGTCCAACAAAGCACCTGACCATTCTGATGGGACATTTAAATGCCAAGGTTGGATTGGACAACACCGGATATGAAGAGGTCGTGGGACGACATGGACTGGGAGAGAGGAACGAAAATGGTGAGGGATTTGCTAATATATGTGCCTTCAATAAACTGGTCATAGGCGGCACTATATTCCCACATAAACGCATACACAAAACCACATGGACTTCACCGGATCACACTACGCAAAACCAAACCGACCATATATGCATCAACAAAAAGTTCAGGAGGACGATGGAGGACGTGAGAACCAAGAGAGGAGCTGATATAGCATCAGATCATCACTTGCTGGCCGCCAAAATGAAGTTGAAACTCGAGAAGCACTGGACAACGGGGAGGACAATATCACAATAGTTTAATACGGCTCTTCTTCCGGATAATGACAAACTCAACAAATTCAAGATAACCCTCAGCAATAAGTTCCAGGCCTTTCATGATCTACTCAATGGAGAAGAAACTACTATGGAGAGCAACTGGAAAGAGATAAAAGAAGCAATCACTTCAACGTGTCATGAGGTTCTGGGCCAAAAGAAGCACCATCACAAGGATTGGATCACGGTTGATATACTGGATAAGATTCAAGAAAGGAGAAACAAGAAGGCAGCAATCAATACCAGTCGAACAAGAGCAGCAAAAGCCAGGGCACAAGCTGAATACACAGAAGTAAACAAGCAGGTGAAGAGGAGCATCAGTACCGACAAACGTAAATATGTGGAAGATTTAGCAATGACGGCGGAAAAGGCTGCAAGAGAAGGAAACATGAGACAACTGTATGACACAACAAAGAAACTCTATGGAAATCACCGTAAACCAGAACGACCAGTGAAAAGCAAGGAAGGCAAGATAATCACCAACATTGAAGAACAACGAAACAGGTGGGTAGAACACTTCAAAGAACTCTTGAATCGACCAGCCCCACTGAACCCACTCAACATTGAAGCAGCACTCACGGACCTCCCAATTGATGTTGGCCCACCAACAATTGAAGAAATCAGCATGGCTATCAGACAAATCAAGAGTGGCAAGGCAGCAGGACTAGACAGCATTCCAGCAGAGGCACTGAAAACAGACGTAGCGGCAACTGCAAGGACACTCCAAACTCTCTTCAGAAAGATCTGGGATGAGGAACAGGTACCAAAAGACTGGAAAGAAGGACTTCTAGTCAAAATACCAAAGAAAGGCGATCTCAGCAACTGTGACAACTACAGGGGAATTACTCTTCTATCAATACCAGGAAAAGTCTTCAACAGGGTATTGTTAAACAGGATGAAGGACTCCGTAGACTCCCAACTTCGAGACCAACAGGCAGGATTCCGTAAGGATAGATCGCGTACAGACCAAATCGCAACTCTACGGATCATTGTGGGACAGTCAATTGAATGGAATTCATCGCTCTACATCAACTTCATTGACTACGAAAAAGCGCTTGATAGCGTGGACAGAAAAACACTATGAAAGGTTCTTCGACACTACGGCGTGCCTCAGAAAATAGTCAATATCATACAGAATTCCTATGATGGATTAAACTGCAAAATCGTGCATGGAGGACAGTTGACAAAGTCGTTCGAAGTAAAGACCGGTGTCAGGCAAGGTTGCTTACTCTCACCCTTTCTCTTTCTCCTGGTGATCGACTGGATCATGAAGACATCAACATCTGAAAGGAAGCACGGGATACAGTGGATATCTAAGATGCAGCTGGATGATCTAGACTTCGCAGATGATCTGGCTCTTCTATCGTACACTAGAAACAGCAAGTGCAGGAGAAGACGACCAGAGTAACAGCAACCGACTCAGCAGCAGTAGGTTTCAATGTACACAAACGGAAAAGCAAGATTCTCTGATTCAACACAGCATGCACCAATCCAATCACAATTGACGGAGAAGGTTTGGAAGATGTAGAAACCTTTACATATTTGGGCAGCATCATCGATGAACACGGCGGATCTGATGCAGATGTGAAGGCACGGATCGGCAAAGCAAGAGCAGCATATCAACAACTGAAGAACATCTGGAACTCAAAACAATTGGCAACCAACACCAAAGTCAGAATTTTCAATACAAATGTCAAGACAGTTCTACTGTATGGGGTCGAAACCTGGAAAACTACGAAAGCCATCATCCAGAAGATACAGGTGTTTATTAACAGTTGTCTACGCAAAATACTTCGAATCCGTTGACCGTACACTATTAGCAACAACCTACTGTGGGAGAGAACAAATCAGATCCCAGTGGAGGAAGAAATCAGGAAGAAACACTGGAAGTGGATAGGACACACATTGAGGAAAGCACCGAACTGCGTCACAAGACAAGCCCTCATATGGAATCCTCAAGGCCAAAGGAGGAGTAGAAGACCAGAGAACACATTAAGCTGGGAAATAGAGATAGACATGAGAAAAATGAACAAGAATTGGATGAAACTAGAAAAGAAGGCCCAGGACAGAGTGGGTTGGAGAACGCTGGTCGACGGCCTATACTCCATTAGGAGTAACATGCGTAGGTAAGTAAAGTAAATGAGATCGTATTCACGAGTCATATTGAGCACGAGGAACTCGCATATACTCTTCCATCTCTATGAAAAACACTCACTTAATAAGTGAGCCTCATCACCCACATTTGGATTTATGAGAGCATATGGAAAAATTGTCGAGACCTATTCATTGTTGATCACATATGGGTATTCACAATTTACGGGTAATCATAGTATTGAATATTCTGAGCTTTGACTTTTTACCTGTTTTAAAGTCAGAGATTCGAAAAGCAAAATCCCTTCAATATATATATATATATATATATATATATATATATATATATATATATATATATATATATATATATTATTGACTAATAAGTTGATTGTTTTACACAGATTAGAAGATGAATTTCGTGATATGGCAGCTAACTACTATCATAATCAAGCTAAAAAAGTGAAAGCTCACAAGGATTCGCTCAACAAAACTAGTCACCAGGTAATTTTTTATAAATCAATTGATTATTATTACTTTTGTTAAGATATGGATACCAACCACTTGCCACCTATCGTTTCTGTATATTGTGTAATTATTTTACCAATACATTTGTTAGGAACTTGATTGGGTTGTAACTGTACTTACTTTTTACTTTTTATCGTAAATTTTACATTATTGTTGTAAATGAAATAGCACTTTTCCCGCACTAATCAAGATTGTATTATTTTTGCCAACAATCTATTTAATTAGTTATATCCAATTTCTGGTAACTAGAGATATTCTTAGTTTCTTACATTCATGTTTCTAAGTAGTTCATTGTCACAACAGTTTTGTTTAGATCATGGTTACATTAATGACATCTTCACCCTCCATCAAATTGTTGAATATGGTTACAGGTGTTGTTAGCTAACAACCGTTGAGCTTTTTGATAGCTTAGTAGTTGTCTTCCATTAGCTAGACTATGTTCTTGAATTGTCTGCTAACCTGAACTATGTTAATTTTGGTTGTATTCTTCAGTTATTTTTGTCAAGGCTTTCCAAAATGATAGTAAACTTCCTAAATAAACCTTTCTCTAACGGATGATTCCAGAGCACATTCCTTTCCAATGAATAGAAGAGAAGAAGAAATGCAATAATTGTTCCACTCTTTATTAATTGGTAAATAATTACGAAGTCATAATATTACTTAACCTTGTTATTTAATAGCTTGTTGTTGAACAACTTTTTTTCAAATTTAATCGATTACAGTTATTGTTTGTTCGTCACGAGTTCAAAATTGCTTTCTATGCTGAATTAAAACAAGACCCAGGATTAGCGCTAAAGTAAGTTCATCCAGAGGCGTATTTACTTATTTTTAATAACTCGCGCTTTTTGTTTTTACCTTAAGCACGCATTCATTCATCTAGTCGTCGTGTAAACATTTTTAACGACAATGGTATTCGAAATTATGTATCCTGAATTTTAAAAAAGTGTTGTCCGAATTCGTTATCAAGTTCGTGAATTATGTGTAACATGGGATAGGCATACTTAGAGATTAGTAGTGGTGGAAATAATTCAACCATAAGGCTTTCGGTTGTTGATACTAATGCTCAAAGTGTATCTGCAGTGACATAGTGTCTAAAGCACTTGACTTTCAATTGTTTATTCTCAAGATCATACAATGCTCCCACTACGATTTTACCAATCAAATAGGTTCTCCAACTCTCACAGTTAAATAGGACATAGCTCAAAGACTAGTGCATAAAATTGTTATTGATTATGAAGCTAAATTAAACAAATGCAGTTGTATTAAAACTTTTGGTCTTGCAGTGTAAACTCACACTATCTAATGCTTCTCAGATATGCTGTGGCAAAGCCACTCAGTCAGTAACTTACCTCCTTACTCTGGATTTGATAGATATGTTGACAAACATATGTTTATCATACATATTGCATGCATCCTACTCTAAAATGTTCTAAAGTCGTCTCATACTCTAGAAGCATCTAGTTAATTTCAGAACACAGTAACCGTTTTTTATATTTCAGACATTATCAACAGGCATATAATCATTTAACAGAATTGAGAATGTTAGATGCTCATTTGCTGGAGGTGAAAACAGTAGCTGGATTTATTAACTACAAGGTAATTAATAACTGTTAATCATTGTATTTTTGGATAATTTCTTTCTGAATTTAAAAGAAACTGTAGTCTGGCATCTCATCGATACCATATAAATGTAATCGGAATCTTGAAGATTAATGTTATATGTATCTTACATGTGTTGTTTCATCTTTTGCCATGAAGCACTCCAAATATGCTTATTATATCTCATCAGTTGTTTTGGTGATGGTCATATCTGACATCATACGATAATCTATTATACATCTGTGTAGTCTCATTGATCACAAATCTATATGAAAACATTTTTGGGATATATATGTATGGCTGCCAAAGTTGTGGCTCCATATTAACATAGCGAAGTTAAATAATCGTAACGAATACTAAATAAGTAGTAGTATAATTGATATTTAAATAATTACGCCTAGATAATGATTAAATTTCAGGAATACAACACGTATGATAATTTTTAAACGTGGTATCTAAGGCTGAACAAATAGTAAATGGATCTGCACCGTTACGACAAATTCTGAGACATATCACCCAACATCTCCATCTATTGGTCGCAGTGATCGCGTGGACCTCAGCCAAGAAGTCTGCACTTATTGACATTCTCAGTAGTCAGTGGTTTCATTAACTGGTGCTATATCTTGGTTCAGCTATCCGTAACTTTCTTGTGATATATATATATATATACATGTATATATATATATATATATATATATATATATATATATATATATATATGCAACGTGCACCAATACAATCACAATTGACGGAGAAGGTTTGGAAGATGTAGAAACCTTTACATATTTGGGCAGCATCATCGATGAACACGGCGGATCTGATGCAGATGTGAAGGCACGGATCGGCAAAGCAAGAGCAGCATATCAACAACTGAAGAACATCTGGAACTCAAAACAATTGGCAACCAACACCAAAGTCAGAATTTTCAATACAAATGTCAAGACAGTTCTACTGTATGGGGTCGAAACCTGGAAAACTACGAAAGCCATCATCCAGAAGATACAGGTGTTTATTAACAGTTGTCTACGCAAAATACTTCGAATCCGTTGACCGTACACTATTAGCAACAACCTACTGTGGGAGAGAACAAATCAGATCCCAGTGGAGGAAGAAATCAGGAAGAAACACTGGAAGTGGATAGGACACATATTGAGGAAAGCACCGAACTGCGTCACAAGACAAGCCCTCATATGGAATCCTCAAGGCCAAAGGAGGAGTAGAAGACCAGAGAACACATTAAGCTGGGAAATAGAGATAGACATGAGAAAAATGAACAAGAATTGGATGAAACTAGAAAAGAAGGCCCAGGACAGAGTGGGTTGGAGAACGCTGGTCGACGGCCTATACTCCATTAGGAGTAACAGGCGTGAAGAAGAAGTGAAGATATATATGCAACGAATATTTTCCACGTTTTAGTCACAAAGTAAAACAGGAGAATGCTGCATAGATTACTGATTATTTCGTCACTTAGCATCTCGCTTACGGCACAAATTACAAGAGTCCATAAAAACCAAACAAACTTTCTGAATCCGTCCCAATAATTCGTCAGATAACAACCTATCAAGGTGATGAAACTTAATAGATAAGTAAAATGATCGACGCTCTAAACCACTTTATTCCCTATCGTTGTTCCAAGTGTTGATGCAATCCAATCTTGAAGGAACATTTTTCTTTTTTTATGGGGAGGGATACATCTCAAATATATCTTCATTGGCTCACAAGAATCGTTAGATGCTTCATTTGGTCAGCCTTCACCAAATAGCGGTAGACCACCTACGTGCTCTAAGTTGATAAGTGAATCTCCTGGTAGATGATTAATCCCTGAAAAGTCTTTGATGAGAAATTAAGTAGCCACTCGTGATAACGGTTCACCATAATCTCTGTCTTGACCAATTGTGTTCAAATAAAGAACCTTCACAAGGTTTATACACTTCTGTGGTATACCTTTTAGTGGATAACGTTAAAGAACTCACGAGTCTACGAAGTTGTGTACTACCTTTTATTAAAGAGATACCACTATTGTCCCGCGAACTTCCATCAGAAACAATAACTTCGGGTGATGTTTGTCAGGGTTGCTCGCTTTCTTCATTTCCATTTAACTTTGTCATTGACATCCTTTTTGAAATAACACTCGTCGTCTGAATTTCCAGGGGTTGGTCTTCTACCGGAAGGTTCACTTGACTTAGGATACACAGATGATGTAGTTCTGTTTAGTGACAAAATCTAGAGTCTTCTGACCACCTTTAGTAATAATGCATGCATGTTCAGGACGCGATTCTTTCACTCCAAATATTGTGCTGCCTTAGGATTGGTCTGCGTCAAAGTCTGAATCACCCATAGAAAGTGGAGTAGTTGGACGCATCTGCCGCTCCATTCGTCTTGGGGGTCACAACACTCCTGATGAGTTGTTTTTTGACGAAATCTCAGTACGCAATCAGAAAGCTCGACTGGCTTTTCTCGAATTGCGTCACTAGTGACGTAGGTGAGATATCCGTCTTCCAACGACAGGACGAGTTTACTGTGCATCAGGTCGCGCCGTCCTACTTTATGAATGTGAAAAATGGCCATTAAGAATAGAGGATATTTGAAAGCTTCTAGTATTCGATGCATTGGTCGTATATTTTCGGACCACAGAGTAAGCAGTGTTTAAGTTATGGATAGGGTACTAGGTAAAGATGGGAACTCAGGTGATGAAGTAGTAAGTTTCTACCAGCTGATGTTGTTGGAACATGTGTTTTGTCTGTTCAACCACCGCCTAACTCGATAGGAAATATTGCCTGGTGCAGGAGTAGGCTGGAAGAATGTTATGGGCGTCCAAACTAAAGCATAGAATTAATCCATAAAGTCATTGACACCTAGACTAAACTATGTTAATTATTGTGGATTACCTGGTTAGAGTCTGTGTGATTGCCGTAACCAATGTTGAAAAACTTTTTTCGTATTTCACTAATTTGAATCTCAAATTGTATCTTTGGTGGTTAAGCTTTCCTATTACCATTACTACTGTTCTTAACTCTACTTTCCTGGTATTTTGCCTGATAGTTTCATCTCTCTATGCTGATAGGATATAGGAAATCTAAACCGATGTATATACGTACCAGATTTTCCGTTGCGACTGACTCCTTAAGTATCCCAATGTTTCGAAACGTTTGAAGGATAAATACTAATCGATATATCCACATACAAGTTTTGAAGCAACCTGGTTTTCTAGTGTTTTCCGTTCCTGAATCGTGGTCAAACCGTCTGATAATTATGATGCTGATATTTTAGAAATTATGTTGGTCGAACTAACTCCTACATTTTCTACAAGAGGATTTCTACTCTTGTTTATAAAACGGACGACCTGTGATTGGTAACCATCCAGATAGAATTGTGTCCGGCTGGTAATTTTACAGTTTCTCTATGATTATAGCATTTGAATTTTAATTACTAGCTCTCATTTCTGAACCTTGCTTTACTTCTTTTGGCAGTCAAGTATTGTCACCAGTCCTTCTACAAAAGTATAACTAAAAGTTGACTATATGAAGCTGTACTTGGTTAGAGTTGTCTCGGAATTTGTCGCATTATCTTTTTACCTATGCCACCTACGATTTTTGTCTTTTTACATGACGTTATCAACAACTCTGACTATGTATCATTTTCGTTTAGATATGTCGCCTGGCTTTTCAAAATAATGCATCTGATGCAATATCACAATTTCGAAGACATATTAATTTTTTTGCTAATCTCGTTGGATTACCACAGTTAGCTTTTGAACATGAAGCATGGATGTCAAAGCAGTAAGTGATGTGTTGCTTTATTTTATTTCTGTGTTGCGTAAAATGTGAAGTAGTAATGATCGAAAGGAGTGATATTCATTTTTGTTCCATACATAGTTCAATAGTTTATCTCTATTAATACGTCTTGTAAATTCCTTAGGTTTGAAATTCTTGGAGATCTTTTTCAAGAAGCTATCAAATCTAGTCTCACTCCCCTTATGACCCAACATCCTGGATTATATTACCAAGAAGCATCTAGGCATGCTGTTTGCCGTCGTCAGTTATGTCAAGCTTTATGCATCCCCACTGTTAAAGCTGCTGAAATGAATGCAGATGACAGATTATACTATCCTTTGTCAACAGAATCTAACGAATCCACTGTTGGAATTGACGCCGCTTTCGCTGCAGACAGCGGTCTATTTGCCGAAGAAAGTGAATCTTCACCTCATTTACCAAATCATTCTTTAGAATGTTCCAGATCAAAACGTACAGCAATCAACACTGCTGTAGAGTTTGTTCGAGCTCAGTCACCTCTTTTGTTTAAAAAACAAATTTTTACAGCGGACAGTCCAAACTTATCAGGCTTTCATTCATCCAGTCTGGTACCTGCAACAGACTGTTTGTCAGCTACAGAGAAAATAAACGGTCTTGAATTTTACGGTCAGCGATCTTGGCGCCAAGGTATTCAAAGTATTGAACCACCAAATCCAACAAAAGAACGAGAAGGGATCTTAGGTTTGCAAAAAGAAGAACTCAAAGTAGATCATTCTGTAAGCTTTGTTATTTGTAGTATGTTTTCAGTCGACTCAATTAATTAGTCCTATATTATGTTTGCAGATGTCTTCAGGTGTCGCCCCACAGTTAGCAAAGTGTGAATGTGTTTGGCTTCTAAACCTTTTGCTTATGACATTTCACTGTTTATGGGAACCAAAGTGAATATGCTCCACACAAATAATAAACTAAGATTCTGAACAAATAGAAGAAGAGTGGATCTGATCAAAAATAAGTAAATAAAGTCAGTTAGAATATCACACTCGATTTCGGAGAAGCTAATTAAGTAGCTGCAACCGAACTTTATATAGGACAGAATTTCCACCACCGATGAGCTGCTGTGTGAGTTGGAAAATAAAGTGAACACAGAATAAATATAAATACGGTTAAAAAAAAGAAGTATAAAATGAATTTCTTTGTAACTAAGTCATCGCAAATACCGTTTGTATAAATACCATGGCAACCAAAAACGTTTACTCGTAATTAATCATTTTCATAATTGTGTGTGAGATAGGATACCCAGGCTGTCAGACCGAAGTAATTAGTTTTCTTAAGGGACTACTCCTCGAGCATCTGACTTAAAGGTTTAGTCCAGATAGCAGTAGAGAAACGTCTGGGAAAGCAATCCAATGGTAACCAATGACCAAGGATATGTTCACACGCTATTCGATCCTTCAGGATCCTGGAGATCATGTGCACCATCGATTTAAAATCGGGGATTTTCAACCCTCGTAAGTGGATCATCTGTAGTCACCAACCCGATATAAGGGTTAGACGCTCACTTCTGTGAACAATACTTCCGCAAGAAAGCAGTGAGTAGAACTTCCCAGGCATTGGCTATAAACTGGTACTATATTAAAGCAATTTAATGAGAACGGACTGTCTCCACCCTTGATCTCACCAGGACATTAGGAAGGCCATTTAACAGCTAATGTTTTCAATTAGTACATTGCATCCAAATGCCAAGTGGGAGTGGATTCCATTTCCCAATATTTTTATTATCATATATGTATTATGTGTTCTTCATTTCTTTCTTGAACTCATTTCATCAGGTTAAAACTTGTAAATATTTTGTTACCTTACAAATGCCCTGGAACGGTCAAGGGTGAAGAGTGTCCGATCTCTCTCTCTAAATGCTCTCACATAGGAACGTTTATACAGCCACTAACAGGGAAGTCCTACCATCTCGTGGCGGGGGTAATGTTTACGAAGTTGAGAGGACAAAAAGCAGATGTCCAGCGTATTAACCGGGTTGGTGGACACGGAGGATCCACACAGGGGAGTTGGGAAACCTTGATTCCAAACCGATGGTGCACGTAGGCTCCAGGACCCTGAAAGGACAAATGGTCTATGAACCTATTGTTGGTCACCGGCCACCATAGAACTGCATCTCCTAACGTTGCTCCACTGCCTTACGGATAAGAACTTTATGTCGAGGAAACTGTGACTCTTAAAACGCTACAAATCACCGGATCCAAATGACTTACCTCCAGCCCTTTTTAAAAATGGTCGCGACTTTCCGGTTAACGAACTGACTGAATTATTTACAAAGGTCTGGTAATTAGAGACTGTTCCAACATCATGGAATGAGTTGTCCAATATATTAGTTTTCGTCATACTTCGTAGATTGTTCAAAACACGAGAACGATTGGCTCGAGAGGAGAATGCGGGTTTCCGTTTTGGTCGAGGATGTAGTGATCATATATTCACCCTCCGCTAAATATTAGAACACCGTCATAATTGTCCCAGGTCAACAATCGTGAAATGCGCCTACATGAACATCAATTAGCAGTCAAACAGCATGATATCTCCTCACTTATATCACTACATGTGGACAACTGCGGACACACATTCGATTGGAAAAACGTGGAAATCTTGGACAGAGGAAATTCTAAAAACCCAAGAAAATTTTAGAAGCCTGGCACTCAGGTCAATCAGCAATCAACAAGCATATTGAAATCGATCCGATTTATCAAACAATCAGGAAACTTATGCACAAATATAGGAACAAGAATCAAGCCAATAGGAGACAAAACCAAAACAAAGAAGTAAACAATGAGAAACTTAGGGTCAATAAGAACCAATCAACATCAAGGTGTACAGAACAAGCTGTGAAAGGCATATGGAGAAATTCGAACACTTCACTTCTATCTAAAGTTTGTGCTGATGATGTCGTTCGGAAGAACGACCAAACCATCCAGCTCAGAGAACAAAACTCCACCAAAATAATCCACCTGAGCTATAAATCTTCACCATCTCAAAGTACTTTTATAAAACTAGTGGGACCCTGAGCATGCACTCACCCTAGGTAGTGAGCAGATAGAAGTGGTTAAGAAGTCCGTGTATCTGGGTAGCTGAGTAAGTTCTGGTGGTGGTGTGAGTGATGAGATCAATCCACTTATTGTGGAGGCCAGAGCGGCTTATGACAATCTGGGTCTTCTTCGACGCCTTTGTGATATTAGTCTGGTTGTAAAAGGTCGGATCTACAACACTTCTATGAGAGCAGTTTTGCTGCATGCTTGTGAAACCTGACCTCTCCGAATTGGCTCAGAATAGAAGCCAGTAGCGATTCTGCTTTCGCTTCACAAAAGTGAATGTAACTTCTTTAACTTGAAGAATTCCTTCTGGATGTATTTTTGCTAACCGAACTGTTTCTCCAATTAATATTATTATTATTATTCCACTCTCATACACTGATTTATTTTTATTGTTATTGTGTAGCGCATATGTATTTGGTGCCTCTTGTACTAATGTTTATGAGTTCAAATAAACAAAAGAGTAAATAAATGAGTAATTTTTAGTTCACTTTCATGTAATGATCTGCTACATAAAATCATGCTGTGGAAGTTTCTTTAACCAACACCCAATATGTAGATCCTACTCATCATCTTGTAATTAGGTTTTAAATATATTTCGTTTTTTTTGTTGGTGTCTTTTTGCTTACTTTGCAAGTTACATGGTCTCATATTCTGTTAACATTAAAAGTCTATTATTTTTGTGGTAATAAATCATACTCTACGCATCAAATATTTGTTAATAAGGGCAAGATATATTTTGTTTTTTACCGAAATTATTTTCTCTACAATTATAAACACTATTAGTCAAAATCTTTCAACGTTATCAGTACTTTTGAAATTTCAGAGTTTTATTATACCACTGCTTGAACAAACTCGGTTGCAATACAAACGATATAAAGCTGAACGAATGAAACTATATCCGTGTGAGTGAATAGTTTAAGTGCTTTTATTGTTTTTATTGCCATTATTGAGTATCCAACCGTAGATTTTACCAATTTTCTCTCATTCACGCTTACCACGAAGAAACTTACGATAATAAATTGTTACATTTTAATATTTTTGAGATAAAAAATTTAGTAATTTATTAGGTTTTACTGGTTTTCAAGATCTATGGATTCGATGTTTCTGTGCCACTGCAATCACTTTTTTTGTTTTTTGATGTATAATTTGACAGTTTGTGGTATCTGTTGTTACGAAATAATGATGAGTCATAGGTGCACATATAATGTTCATTAAGATATGACAAACTTAACTTTGTTTCGGAAGAGTACCACATCCACAACTCATTATTTACATTATTTAATTCAAAGATTAGATTCATTCTATTTTGTGCTCCTAACGTCATCAATTAATGTGAACATGTAGTAACAGTATTCCATTTTATTGGCTCCAAGGCTGTAGTTGTGAACTTTGTCTTCTTGGTTTTATCAAATTTCTATATGTGAATCTGCTTAATTTCCAGCATTCAGGAATTTCAATTTTAGTTATACACTCATTGTTTTTTCTCGTCATTATTTCCTAGGATGTTTTACTTCATAGGATTGCATACGAATTTTAGTTCTATTTGTGATTATGTAACCACATTTGTTTAACATTAAAGATAAACATTATAGCACTATACGAATCTTTGATCAGGTTTGTCAGTTTATTTTATCAATTCTAAGTCACCTTTTTTACTCATTTTTATTTCAGGTATTTTAATGGGTTCCGAATATTATGATAAACAGGATTATGATAAGGCTCTCAGGTGAACATCAAAATAAATAATTAACCACTTCTTTTCTAGTTGTTATTTAAGTGTAATCAATGAATATCGTAGCGAAAAATGGTGGTCTCTCTATACTTTCACACTGAAGCGAATTGCAACGTAAGTGTTATAACAGAACAACACCAGTATATTTACACTTTTCTTTAAGTGGCAGCTTATAGTTCACCTGTTGAGGCGCAATTGTTTTTCCTACTATACCGCATGTGGTAGTTTAGTGAGACGCTAGAACTTAGATTTCTTTACGAAGGCTTATTAAATTCCGTTGTCAATTAGATTAGTAACTGGTTTTGATTTACTAATTGTCAACGTTTGATTTGTACTAATGATTAGAACATTACGCTTACAACCACGTATAAGCTGATTCGTTATTCTGTTGGGTAAATGGGAATGTTTCTCTAAAGTTTTTTTGGGTAATTTTGAGTAGATTTTATATGACAGTTATCTACAAAGAAAATCAAGTCAGCTGTACCTTATAAACCTAATATTGTGGCAACATTCACAACCATGATTCATTCAATTGGATTGTATATTTTGCTAAATATTCACTTAAATATTTTTCCAAAAATCGTAGTCTTATTATTTTATTCAATAGATAAATAAAACTGTTCCCTTTTTTAGATGCGCATATTTGATAGCTCAGTCTACAGTTTTTCTATCTTCATGTTTGGAACTTCTTGGACCCAGTGAGTTTTCTCTTGCATCATTTTTAGAGCACATTACTTCATCATATACAATCTTTTGTATTTTAATTTCATCTGACTATTTTCTGTCATTAATATGAAATTTGAAGAGGGCTAAAATAATAATTTAAACAGATAAACATGAATTCGTTTTTTTATTAGGTTTTTGTCAGTCGTTTACAACTTGTAATATTTTAAGACCAGAAATTTAAATAAAGTTTAACATACTTATCGAAATCAATTCGGCTACGGTTTAATGCCGAAAACATATCGACATAATGAAGTAAACATACTTAAAAAATTTGAAAAGGTTGATTAGGTGATCGCAAACATATACGATTCCTAGGACATCAATTAAGGTAACATCAAAAGATCAGTTAGTAATTAAGTGTTTATATGATGAATTAATGAACACAGATTAAGAATAAGATTATAAATTCAAGAAAATATAATGTGATCATGCTTCCAAACAAGAGGTTTGAGAAAAACGGCCTTATAAAATAATGACCAACTTACTAGGGCAAAGAATACTATTAAACTTCTTTTTTGAACAAATAAATTAAGTTTCAAGCTTTTAGTAGCTCCGGTTAACTTTAAAATATTAGAGCTTGTTTATTTATTAAATAATGAGAAGTTTTAGGTTGTCTGATGTCATTATGATGCCTACCGCTCACATCATTAAAAACTTTTATTCCTTTAAGTAGAAAATGTTTTACGATATGTTCGTAAAATTTAAGACAAAACTTTCTATCTTATTAGCGTGATTACTTTGAGAGATACACTTAGATCTGAACAAACATAACAAAAGTACTTATAGATTTTCGGTTGTTCCGAATAACTGACATTATTGCTATAAATAAATTCATCATTTGAACCTGATGTGATAAGGGTTTGACACAGAATTAATCATCGCCTTATATTATCTTTAGCAATTTTGGTTATTTATCTAAAAATAGCTCAGGCTAGATTGTTTGGCAAGACGTTGGAATTGTTTAAACTGGTTTACCATTATCATTCTAAATGTAATTTTGCATTTGATGTCTGTTATATAATTGGCGCCCCCAAATGCCCTGGTGGTACGGCCGACGGTGGGGAGAGTCAGATCTCTCTCTTGAAGTGCTCTCACATGGCCACGTGTATACATCCACACACACAGAAGTCCTACTCACTGCCTTCTTGCGGTGGGTTGTTGTTTACCAAGTTTAGAGGACGGAAAGCGGATGTCCAGTGCTTTAACCGGGTTGGTGGACACAGAGAATCCACACAGGGGAGTTGGGAAACCTTGATTCCAAACCAATGGTACACATAGGCTCCAGGGTTCTGAAATGGTCTGTGAACCTATTGTTGTTCACCGGTGACCATGGGACTGCTTCTCCTTGAGTTGCTCCACTTCTTTGTGGATCAGACCTTTAGGTCGAAGGCTCCGGCTGTGGTCCCCTGAAAAAATCACCTGCCTCGCTCTGGACACCCGTCAGTATCACAGCCCATGCATAAATCAAGTGACTTGTGTGGCGCATATGTATTCGGTGCCACATTTTTACTAATATTTATGTGTTTATATAAATAAATAATTTCTACCAAACTGTTCGTTTGAATTTGGATTAAAGTTCATATAAATTTTATTACATCTGCATTATCTGAGTTATTTGGTACATACACAGACCTCCGTTTTATGTAATTTCATTTCATCATTGATGGATAGGACATGCTTTGACTCTTTCCGTTCAGCTAACTTGTTTTCACGAAATTAGTTGGTTTTGCTTCTCAATTCTTATGTCGTTATTATTACTTTTGGGCGTTTTTTCTTTAACCTTTCCTTTGTTTTTCATTGTTTGACGTTCTAGACAGCTTGGTTCCCCTCTGTGAGAAAGTACAAGCTCAACAAGCAATTTTTGATTTCCTTAAGGTAATTTATCAATTTTTCTGTGTACATAGTTGTTGCAAACAGCAAATTCTTGATGAATGTGCGTGGTTAGCCTCTGTGTTGTAAGTAAACAGGATAAGATGTGTTATATTTCATCGGTTTGATATTTTTGTATTATGTAAAAAGCAAGAATAATAATAATACCTGAAAACACATCAATTAATTATGAACGTCCGGGTTCAAGCTTAACATAAATGTTAATAATACGTAAATAATGAGACTGCAGAATAATCTAATTATTTTTATATATCGCTGACTTACTCCATGGAACAACTAAATTGTTAGTCTAATCTTAATAGAAAGTTCTTGGAGTTTTATTCAAGACAATTAATATAAACATATTTACTGTTTGTTTCGTTTTCTAACAGTAACGATTTTTCTGTTTGGATATGTTTTAAAAAAGGCCTCATCTTACCGTCTCGATTTCACTTTCAGTTCCTAATATGCTAGATAATTTTTTTCTTATTTTAGACAGGAGTTCCTAATCTCATAATGTTTGCACCTGAGCTTGATCATACCATAAAAACTATCGAAGACGGGTGGAAGAAACAGTTAGACGTATTAATACAACATACTTCGAATGCACATTCGGACGTTGCACATAATGAATCGGTCAATGAGAACAAAGTTGATATCGAGAAAAAGCCACAAAGTTCAACCAATTCATATTTTGATGAAAAGTGCAGAATTTCATTGGACATTACCCGACTTAATACATGTAGTAAGTGTGTAAATAAAGGGATAATCAATATTAAATACCAGATAAACTAACGGATAATTTCGTTTTCATCTAATGTCATATAAAACGATATAATTGTTAAAGCATTAAATCTTCAGACAAAAATGAACCCGCTCCACCTATTTTGATTTTGCCATTTAGTTGGGATTATTAATCGTCCCACACAATTCAGAATGTCTCAAAACAGAGTACATAATCTAATAATAATAGAAGAAATATACTTAACGAGTAGTTGCTTTAAAACGTATTTTTCATGTTTCCTACTCAATGTAGCCCAACAGATACAGTCGAGTCCATTCGCTCCCAAGTTTAATATGTTTGATCCCAATAATTTAGATCTTGTGAACCTTTCTATGATAATTCATCCTTGTATTGGTTGTTCAGATCTTTTCATTGATGTTTAGGATTGCAATTGATCAATCTTTTATTAACACATAAGCATCCTGTGCAGATTGCCTTGATATTGGGTCAAGTATAAGCAGAGTTGAAGTGAACGGTACTGGGCTCGAGTCACAGAGTAAACATCAACTCTGGGTTGCAGCTACGTCCAGCTGACAATTCTCAAATAGGACGACACGCGCGTCCTAGATTCTACTGTTAGCCACCATCATCTTTTTATGATAACTTATAAATTTACATTTAATCTTCCAAAACACTGCCATCTGAAGTTCATTTATTAAACGTACTGCTGTTAAATCATATCATAGAAGTCATTCGTATTCTATTGATTTCATCATTACTTTTCTATTTCAGTACAATGCAAAGTTTGCTTTTCACAACCAGAATATACTTTTGGTCAACAGGTTCAATTGGCTGTCTTTTTACGGTATTCTATTAATAATCTCGTTTTTTATATTAATTAACTTGCTTTTCAGTAGTCTTAAGATTCATCTAGGCAAACAACAACTACTACATTGTGCTTCTAAAAAGGTGCATCAGCTAAACTTTTCTTACTTTATAACAGCTCAACCAGAGGAGTTTAGTAAGAATTAATAGTTTATTATGATAAACAAAAACGTTATCGGTGGAATCTCGATGTCTTAGTACTTGTTACCAACTTTTATATTTTGTATCGAACCGAAGTTAATCTTTTTTAGTCTTGTTACCTGGGCAATACCATAGTATACGAATCTCCAAAAGTCAGTCAGTCAGTCAGCTGCAACGTAGGACCAGGCACGTATATGCATCGGTCCAAGTTGCCATACCGCATTAGCACAACAAGATGAACACCGGATTCATAGGAGTAGTTAATTCAGTGGTGGTAATATATAGAAGAAAGATTGTGTATAAGGAGATAGTGCAGGAAGGTAGAATTAGTTCCTAGACAGATATGAAGCGATTTTAATCTCTTAATTTAAGGAAGACAGAGAGTGTATACACCGACGCCATTGTGATCGATTCTGAGCCATGTCGCCAATAGTCTCCAACCATTGGTTACGATAGTCACGCGGACCCCAACCAGGCAGTCTGAATCTCCCAACATGGCTCAGACTAGAAGTTAGTGACTTCAAGCACTGATGCCACGTTTTGGTTTGGCCGCCCCTAGCTTTCTTCCAATTATCCCCTGCACTAGTCAGCATTGCGCGTCGTGGTAATCGGTGTTCAGGCATACGCAACACGTGGCCCAACCATCTCAGTCGATCAAGATTCATAACCTCATCAACTGATTTACCATCATTCCCTAATACCCTGAGTCTAACCTCACTATTACTTACCCGGTGATCCCAGCAGATACCCGCAATATTTCTAAGGCACCTGTGGTCAAATACTAGTAACTTACGAATATCTTCCACTCTTAAAGGCCATGTTTCGCAGCCGTATAGAAGGACGGAACGAACTGCCGTGCAGTATACTCGTCCCTTAATTGATAGACGGATATCTCGCCTGCGCCATAGATGACGTAAGTTGGCAAAGGCCAAGTGAGCTTTTCGAATCCGTGCTGAGATTTTGTCAGACACCAACCCATTAGGGATGATCAGACTTCCAAGATAAGTGAAGTTGTCAACGCGTTCGACTACTTCACCCCCTATCCTTAGTTCAGGTGTTGACTCAGACCAGTCCGGAAGCAACAACTTGCATTTAGAGGAAGAAAAGCGCATCCCAAACATTCTAGCATTGTTGCTCAGTGCTACCAGAAGACACTGCATTTCATCAGCGTCTTCACCAAACAGGACTATGTCATCTGCGTATTCTAAGTCGATAAGTGGACCTCCTGGTAGGAAATCAATACCCAGAATTTCGGTCGATGAGAGTGTTATTTCCATCAGCAGATCTATGATAAAGTTAAACAAAAAAGGAGAAAGTGGACAGCCTTGACGGACACCACTTGAGGTTGCGAGATCAGATGACAGTTCGCCATAAGCTCTGACTCAACTAGTAGTGTTCGAGTAAAGAGCCTTCACAAGGTTTATGTATTCTGAGGTACGCCTTTCAATGACAGACACTGCCACAGAACCTCTCGGTCAACAGAGTCAAACGCTGCTAGGATCTCCAAAAGATATCGAGTGATTTGTATTTCTTTTAGTGAATGATATATGCAATGTAAAAGGCTCAAGCATTGTTACCTAAATGGGTAAACCTGATTAAAATTGTATATCTGGTAGAAACTTTTGACGTTTTATCGATGCTTCATCGTAAACCATCGGTTAGACGGTAACATAAGTAATTTTCTAATCAAAATACCAATATTTGAACGAAGAATTTTTTTTTGATAAATTCTCTTCAGGTTCTACAATTATATATCCAAATTAATAATCTGAAAATTGTTCATGTTAAGGACAAAGTACATCGTTTAAAGTTAGCATATGAATTTAGGATTGTCAAAAAAATCGAATAAAATTGTTCACGTTGATATGACTCATATAGAATGTTAATTTGATTCAAATATGATGGAGATCTTGGAACAACTTATCATAAATCACTAACGGATCTTGGTTGAACCACCATTGAAAACCAGGAAGCATTAGATGGCCCTCTCATTCTAGTATGGGATTCAGCAGCGCTAAGATCAATTCATAATTTACACTGGAGTTTCTATGATCACAAATTCCCTATACTAATGTATATATATATATATATATATATATATATATATATATATATATATATATATATATATATATTGTTAGTTACCCATTCGATCTTGTTTATTAGCCATGTTAAACCGCATTATTTTCCACTATGACTATTTCAAACAGAAGAACTGCACATAATCGAGTATAGTATCTCATGACCAGTGATAATGATAGTATTTCCTTTGTTTTAGCCTTCTGTATGTGACTACTTTTGATCATGTTTTGTATTAATCTTGGTTATTTCCTTATTTACATTTCTAGATCCTTTGCTCCTTTACCCATCCTTGTTCACCATGTCACTGTGACTTTTTCTACCAAGGTAATCTAAGTAGACTTATCGTCATATCACCTGGTCATTTTACCGTGTCCTTTTAGTAATCCTGAACTATATATCATTTTAGTAATTTGCACATAGCAAACTAGTGAATTATTCAATCAAATGTTTTATGCAATGAGTTTAATTAAAACTAGTTATCAATGCACAAACCAATGTTAGTTAGAGGACCGATAAAAAGTTAGGTAGTATTTTCCAGCTTACTTATTCTGATTTGAAATGTTTTAGCAATGTACATACCTGATTATACATACAAGATTTCTTTATTTGAACACATAAACATTAGTACAAGAGGCACCAAATACATATGCGCTACACAATAACAATAAAAATAAATCAGTGTATGAGAGTGGAATAATAATAATAATAATATTAATTGGAGAAACAGTTCGGTTAGCAAAAATACATCCAGAAGGAATTCTTCAAGTTAAAGAAGTTACATTCACTTTTGTGAAGCGAAAGCAGAATCGCTACTGGCTTCTATTCTGAGCCAATTCGGAGAGGTCAGGTTTCACAAGCATGCAGCAAAACTGCTCTCATAGAAGTGTTGTAGATCCGACCTTTTACAACCAGACTAATATCACAAAGGCGTCGAAGAAGACCCAGATTGTCATAAGCCGCTCTGGCCTCCACAATAAGTGGATTGATCTCATCACTCACACCACCACCAGAACTTACTCAGCTACCCAGATACACGGACTTCTTAACCACTTCTATCTGCTCACTACCTAGGGTGAGTGCATGCTCAGGGTCCTACTAGTTTTATAAAAGTACTTTGCACTTGGAAGGTGCAAAGCGCAAGCCATACCTACGGACATTGACTGTCAACCGATTAAGTGCGGGTTGCATGGTTTGGGTGTCATCGCACAGTAACACAATATCATCCACATACTCAAGGTCGAAAAGTCTTTCTCTAGGCAACAGATCCTTACCATCATTACAAACTTCGTAATCATTACCCCTGCCACGAGGACTTCCCTGTCAATGGCTGTATAAGGGAGAGAGAGAGATCGAACACTCTCCACACTTGACGGTACCAGGGAAAATATTGTTCATTTAAACAGTTTTTCATCACTATATTCTGCTTTGAGTTGTATTTTGTACCTCATGTCATAATTTTACATTTAACTCGTTGTTTACTGTGTGTAAATCTGCAATTATTCAAATAAATATATTTGTGAGGATCTGAATAATTTTCATTTGTTGTTGTACTTTTAATTGTATGTGCTAGTTTATTTCCATACTTACTCAGTAAAATTGTCTCTTCATATCATTTACTTAAAGTCCTATAACTAGTTAAATTTGGAATGTTTTACATAATTTTACGATAACTTGATGAGATGCAGTTCTTCTGTGTTTTTTTCTGAATACTCTAGTTTTTTAGAGGTAATCAGTTCTAACACTCTAATATTATACAGTAAACTGCATATTAGCGATAATCATTCGTTGAGTTCGAATTATCTTTTTTTGTGTTAATCCCGTTAACAAATTAATTAACTTTTATCTTCATTCTAGTGATACTGAAACTTTTGTTATCTATTACAATTAATACTATTAGGTCGAGTGTTCAACGTCTTCACTTAATATACCACCTAGTACAATAAACAAACCTTTATTAGGAAATTTTTCAACTCATCAGACATCGCAAACATGGTCATCTAAGTTTATTCTGGATTCAACAGAAAAATTCAAATTGATTCTATTATGCCTTAATCCAGACGTACTTGGTAACCAAATTAAAGTAAGCTATTATGTATATACCACTTATTTTGTTAGGAATTTTTTGTTAGAAACATTAAAAAATTGTATCTCATATTTCGAATTTTTTGTGCTTTTGATACTTACTGAACTCAATATAATGTATTCGCAAGCTACAATCAGACATATGTGCAATTAGTATGTTGAAACTGGTCACTTAGCGACATCTGAAGAAACTTTTGACTTTCCTATCTTTGTGTCCACGAATATCGACTATACACCGAATACTACAGCAGTTTATTAGTTATAAATTACTCTCAATACGCTTTGAACTGTACTTTATTAATTGCTAGAGTACCGAGTACAACTACGACAGTTTAAACAACTTAATCGAAACGGTATATAAAAAAATAAAGAAATTGATTACATTTTCTTAATTATTAGCAGCTCTGTCCAAAATGTAATACTTGGAAAGTACATCAGAAGTTACTATATATGGATTGTTACTAACATTTTTATGATTTCCTTGATTAATTGCCACTTTTTATTTCCGTCAACAGACTGCTGTTCCTACGTCTCAAGGAAAGGAAGCTGTGTAAAGTATTTCAACCTTTCCTTTTAACGGATTCCCAGTTTATGGTTCTGTAAATTAAGAAACATTTTTGTTTGACAACCAGTTCTGTTCTTTATTTTTGATAGCGCTGCTCTGTAGAAAAACTACAACTGTTTACTTGAGTTTTAATTGTTCGCTTTACTAACTATACTAATGTTGTAAGTAATTGACTACTTTTAAGTAATCCTTTTTTACCGAGATATAATTTCCAATTAGATTAAACGATTAAATTGATGCAACAAATTGCATGTTACCATGTGATTTTAAAGAGAACGTATATGAGATCTTAAACAAAAATTTTGAATATCTATATGACTTTTATAGTGATTACGTTAAAAAAAATAGAGCCACGTTACAATAAAGGAACAAATATATCTCTTCTTGATTTCTATGTATATCGATTGTTTACTCCGTAAAATGTGACTTTTGATAAGATCTCTCTTTTTCACCAGGTTGATTCAATTCATTTATGTTTATCACCTCCTATGGTTAATTGTCATAAAGATATTATTGATGAATTAATATTGTGTACAGTTTCATGGCAATGGAATACAAAATCAGATTATCATCCTTACGTAAGTGGTCGTAAAACTATTGGTCATAAACATCATAATCCAAAGAAACAGCATGATGTGTTACATGATAATGTAAATACCATTAGTAATAATAATTGTGGTTTATGGTGCAAAGAGGTTGTTCTTTCAGTGCCAGAACGTCGAATGCAGAAAAACCCTATTAAAATTAAATCCAATGGATTCATAATTAATCATAAATTTCCTAACCTTCCACCAGACTGGGATATTATTGACAATCGAATTCGAACAGAGTAAGTTTTACGTGTTCCTAATTAATTGCTTAACGCATAATTGATGAAATCGCATCATGGAATAGTTAAGTTATATTATGAGAAATCAACCTTATCACAAAATACTAGCAATTTCATTTATTATCTGCAAAGCCATTTTTTTATTCTAGTAGTTGCTTTGAAATGCACCTTCAAATAAAGTTTTGTTTTCTTCTAGTCGGTGTTTAAATGTAGCTTGCTTATGATTCATTCGCAACTGGCACTAATATGTAACGATAAAGCCTGTGAGTTTTATCATTCAAGAAATATCCAGTTTTGATGAGAAGTTGGTTGTAAAGCATTCAGTTTATACTGATATGATCTACTAATAACACTTGCCTTTATCATTTAATTATTTCGTTTAATTGAACTTCATATGTGTAATTTATGCTTTAGAATTAATTGGATTTTTCGAATTCTAGATTTTGAGCGGTTACACATTAACTCACATTTCTTGGCTTTAAAACATTTCTTTTATTTCTATTTGATTGTGTCAGTCATCGTCAACATCAAAGTATATCAGTCTAAGTCTGTACATCTCTCATTAGCACAATAAAAAAAGAAGCCCTAACGATAATTGAGGGATCGGAATTCCTATCAACCCAAATATGAGAAATAATGGAACAAATAAGATCGTAGAACTATAATCACAGGATGACATTAAACTCAAGATGTTAAGAGAAATGGGGATTAATGCAGTTCCAAATCTGTGAACGATTATGGGGCATTTTACTCAACGTCTCCAACTTTCATTCATTTGATTAATGCGGTCAGTCAGCTACAACGTAGGACCAAGCACATATATGCATCGGTCCAAGTTGCTATACCGTATTAACACAACAAGATGAACACCGGATTCATAGAAGTAGTTAAGTCAATGGTGGTAATATATAAAAGAAAGATTGCATATAAGGAGATAGTACAGGAAGAAAGAATTAGTTCGTAGAAAGAAAGATATGGAGCGATTTTAATCTCATAGTTTAAAGGAAGACAGAGAGTGTATACACCGACGCCATTGTGATCGATTCTGAGCCATATCACCAAGAGTCTCCAACAATTGGTTACGATAGTCACGCGGACCACAACCAGACAGTCTGCATCTACCAACATGGCTCAGACCAGAAGTTGGTGACTTCAGGCACTGATGCTACGTTTTGATTTGGCCGCCCGTAACGTTCTTCCAATTATCCCTAACACCAGTGAGCATTGCGCGTCGTGGTAATCGGTGTTCAGGCATACGTAACACATGACCCAACCATCTCAGTCGATCAAGATTTATAACCTCATCAACTGATTTACCATCATTCCCTAATACCCTGAGTCTAACCTCACTATTACTTACCCGGTGATCCCAGCAGATGCGAGCAATATTCCTACGACATCTGTCACCAAATACTAGTAACTTACGAGTATCTTCTACTCTTAAAGGCCATGTTTCGCAGCCGTATAGTAGAACGGAACGAACTGCCGCACAGTATACTCATCCCTTAATTGATAGACGGATATCTCGCCTGCGCCATAGATGACGTAAGTTGGCAAAGGCCAAGTGAGCTTTTCGAATCCGTGCTGAGATTTTGTCAGACACCAACCCATTAGGGATGATCAGACTTCCAAGATAAGTGAAGTTGTCAACGCGTTCGACTACTTCACCCCCTATCCTTAGTTCAGGTGTTGACTCAGACCAGTCCGGAAGCAACAACTTGCATTTAGAGGAAGAAAAGCGCATCCCAAACATTCTAGCATTGTTGCTCAGTGCTACCAGAAGACACTGCATTTCATCAGCGTCTTCACCAAACAGGACTATGTCATCTGCGTATTCTAAGTCGATAAGTGGACCTCCTGGTAGGAAATCAATACCCAGAATTTCGGTCGATGAGAGCGTTATTTCCATCAGCAGATCTATGATGAAGTTAAACAAAAATGTAGAAAGTGGACAGCCTTGACGGACACCACTTGAGGTTGCGAGATCAGATGACAGTTCGCCATAAGCTCTCACTCGACTAGTAGTGTTCGAGTAAAGAGCCTTCACAAGGTTTATGTATTCTGAGGTACGCCTTTCAATGACAGACACTGCCACAGAACCTCTCGGTCAACAGAGTCAAACGCTGCTTTTAAGTCAAGGAAGACCACCATTGTCGGATGCCGATAAGTATGCCTGTGTTCTAGAACCTGACGAATGGTGAATATGTGGTCGATGCAGCCACGACCAGGTCTGAAGCCAGCTTGATTCTCTCGTGTTTGCAGTTCACGAGTCTTAGTTAGGCGTCCGATAATTATCGAAGCTAGTATTTTAGATACTATATTAGTTAAACTAATCCCTCTATGGTTGTCACAGGATGATTTTGACCCTTTCTTAAATATTGGGATGATAAGTGATTGTGACTAGTTAGATGGGATAACGTCCAACTCCCAGATTTTAGCTAAAATATTAGTCAACCTAATCGCTAAAACTGGACCACCATCCTTAAAGACCTCTGGGGCCAATCCAGCAATGAAGGAACGATGAAGTTTGAAATAATTGATGTAAGGTTTGCAAATAAATTACTCAATATATCGTTTTTCACAATTTATGACAGAACTCTGTGATATTGCATTAAATAATAAACTGGTCTTCCCTATCTGAGTGTTTGTTCACTACAGGTACATACAATATTCTTTGTTATGTTTTCCTTCGAATGATTATAGATTTATTGCATTATTCAGTGATTAACATTCATTGCACTTTTCACCTGTTCAAGTTGTTTACAATTTTACAATATTTAATTACGTATTATATAGAATGCATCATCCATCTTCCGGTTTAGAAATTACTATGCCAGAGAATGTTTGTATACTGGCGAATGAAATTTCTCAAATAAATTTAACTATTCGCAATCCAACACTATGTGACTGTACTAAACTTAAGTGAGTTTTATTTTTAAGTATATTTAAATAACTACTTATTATCTCTTTACTAATATTTTATTCAACTACTATCGATAAGCACAATTTTAGATTATTTTTATTTGTCATAAACCTATCGTATTGCCGTGGTTGATATCTTTTCCTTATTTATGAGATTCAAACTCATTTGTGTTGGCTTATTATGTAATTTGTTTAAAACATAAAACTAATATACCTGAACAGCAAATCGCTTGTCGATTATTTTTTAGATTGTCAAATAAATTTTGTGTGATGAATTAGTTCAAAATAATGAGTATATAGAATTACATACTTGTTATTTAGTGATTTCTTAGATTGCGATTCCAATTATTGTATACTTAATCTTACAGTTGCCGATATCCTCAATGATCATTTATCATCATCTGTTTCTTTGTGCTCTATCGAAAGCGAAAATATGTACAAATACTTAACTTTTATATCTAACCGAAATTGAATAACCTTTACAATACATAGGTTTCTTAGACCTTTTAATATATTCGTAGTCCTAATACACAAACGTTTAGTTCTTGAAAGGCCAACATTTCTTTTCAAATGAGAAACGTTTTTTGTGTTGTATACTAAGTTTTTTTCTAAACCCACGTATGTCCTCTTTACATACCTGGGAAGCATCGTCGATAAACAAGGAGGTTCAGATGCAGACGTCAAGGCGAGGATTGACAAAGCAAGGGCCACATTCCTTCAACTAAGGAACATATGGAACTCAAAACAACTTTCAACCAATATCAATGTCAGAATCTTCAATACGAACGTCAAGGCAGTTCTACTGTACGGAGCTGAAACTTGGAGAACTACAACAACCACCATCAAGAAGGTACAGGTATTTATTAATAGCTGTCTACGCATGATACTCAACATCCATTGGCCGGATACCATCAGCAACAGCCTTTTGTGGGAGAGAACCAACCAGCTTCCAGCTGAAGAGGAAATTAGGAAAAGACGATGGAAATGGATAGGACATACATTGAGGAAATCATCAAACTGCATTACGAGACAAGCGCTAACTTGGAATCCTGAAGGGAAGCGGAAAAGAGGAGGGCCAAAGAACACATTACGTCGGGAAATAGAAGCAGATATGAAAAGGATGAATAAGAACTGGGAAGAGCTTGAAAGGATTGCCCAGGACAGGGTTGGATGGAGAATGCTGGTGAGCGGCCTATGCTCCTTCTCGAGGAGTAACAGGCGTAAGTAAGTAAGTAAGTAAGTAACGTATGTCCTCACTAACACGTAGTTTTATAAGTCTTGGTAATCACGTTCAATTATATTTTTTATTGGACATTTATTGTTTTGGCAGTTATAACTCAGTAATTTCTAACTGGTGACCAACCGTTTGATCACCGATTAAAAGAAACTTTCTTACGCCATCATTCTGAACGTAATAATGGTTTCATTCACATTATTAGGGCTTGACACACTACGTTAACTTATTTTGATTTTTAATCAATTATTTTGTATTACGTTTCCTTTTCATGATTATCTTTTCTAAATTTCGTTCTGGTTCAATATCGTCAAGGATGTTTTCAGTGATGTTAAATGTCTTCTATTTGATTGTACCAAAGTATGGTAGGTACATAAGTCTTGTCACTTTTGTTCTTCATTGACTTAGTTTTTTACTTCCATCACTTAAGCTGTTCTTATAAACGTATCAATTTTTATTGAAATAAAAACATCATTAGTTTGTTGTTTTGTTTAATAAAATTTATGTCTCTACTATTGCAACCTTTAAAATATTCCGGAAACAGTATCCCTTATTAGAACGTTTTTGTAAATATGATTAAGTTTAGTTATATTCGATGTAAAATTTCTCAATCTTAACATGACTTTTTTTCACAGAATATCTGTAACTTAAGTTGTTTGTTTTTATATTCGTAGTTTAACTGTCCGTTTAATTCCGAGAGAAAAAGATTCAACTGAATTTCCTGACAATGCTAGTAATACTTCTACCACTGTATCAAACACAACAATGATTACAAATCCATCTGTAATAGACAATTATATAATAGTTGGCAGTTCATCTGAATTAATATCTCATATGTCAGCTAACAATATTAATTCATCTCAAAAATCAAGTAGTGCGTATTTTATAAAGAAGTTAGACGACATTCCGTCGAATCGGTCTATATCTGTGACAATTTCATTATGTTGTTCATCTGCTTCGTTAGTTTCTAGTAATAATCAAACACTTTCATGTTATTTGACTTTCTCTACTAAAATTTTACCTTGTGAATATCCCGATTATTTATTATCATTATCGGATTCATTAACAACAGAAACATCATTAGTATATACTGTTATACATGAATCTATGAAGTTATCTAATAACATGGAGTCGTCGAATATAAATAATCATTTAGTTCAAAATATAATCGACCAAAATGCAATGGTAATTCAATGTAATCAAAATATTGAAACTAATATAACTATCTTGTCACCATTTGAGTTAGACTATAAACTGCTTTCCTTAACAGTAAGTTTTGTTTTGTTGTTATGATTAGTATTATCATAGTTATTTTAAATTGGTTCGCTATTTACACCACACTAGAAATGATTATGCTGTACGCTTCTACTGATTTTACTGTATATGTATCTGTTTGATTTAGAAACGAGGTAAATCTTTTGTATCTATAAAAACGATCAGATTAGAACTTGATTCGATTTGGGAATAAATAATAAAACACACAAGTCCCTATTGGCATTCAGTCATAGCCACTCTCATTGATCTGAGTGTGATATGTGAGTTCTTGTAACACTATTTGACAGTGAACAACTTATCTGATAAATATTATACTCTTAATCCAGTGATTCTCAATTGTTACATGCCTGATAACAGGGTATTTAAAGTAGTATTGATTCAGAATATCGATACTTCCGATTGTCATTCCGTTTTTATTGTCTAACCTATTTATTTGATGTGAACAAATATAAATCAACAGTTTTAAATTCCCTATAGAATATTAAAAAATGAAGAATATTTGACCGAACAATTGTTTTCAATAACGTCATCATCAGGCTCTACAGTTATAAGTCCATAATATTGATATTTTACAAAGGCCAAAATACGGCATGTATTAACGAGTTTGACAATCCTATATGTTGAAAATGATGAACGTTTGTGTCTGTTATGACATAAATACTTCAAAATTGTGTTATTTGTAAATTAGAAACGTCATTTAATAAAGATTATAGTCATTTGGCGTAGTGTCAAGTCACGATCAGTATAATAGTAATATAGCATGAATGAAAATGCAAAGAAATTGTGTGAATAATATGCATAGTCGGAGGATTTCCACTTGTCAATATTATTATTATTACTATTACTATTATCATTATTATGTCAATTAAATATAAATCACACATTACTTTTGGATAAAGTGTTTCACCTTATTTTTCTAAGCATCTTTAAATCCATGAACACGCTTGGAATTCGTTTCTGAGCGCCAAAATCCAGAAAGTTGTTTTAGAAGCAATCAACATGGATGCTTTATTTGACAAAAGAAAAAATAAGTTGTTTAACGGATTCACTTCATTATTTATTTTTATCCATGGATGATTGACATGGACTTAATGCGGAATCGATTGATGCTTCCTTCATCTCCATTTTTAAAATTTATATCTCGCTTGCGTCCAGTGACATCATTAAATTTGTTCTGATAACTGGAGTAGGGGTCAACCTGATGATGCCTCATTCGGTCATTTATACTCTAATAATTTAAGTAACAAATATTAAAAACGTAAATGGTATAACTATCTCCGGTGTTTGTTTTCCTATTTCATTTTTTAGCAACATCGTATTAAAAGTCTTATAGTTAACGACGAGTTTTTGTTATTGTTCAAGTTAACCAATACATCCGATTGTGAACTGGAAATACACGATATACAATTGGAAGTAGTAAGTCGATGTTTTTTATACCTATATATATATATATATATATATATATATATATATATATATATATATATATATATATATATATATAGCATAACCGTGATGCTGCCTTCTCGTAAGTAGGGGCGGGGTTAGAAAAGGTCGACCCTAAAAATGCACACCTCGCCTTACCCACGGATATCCGTCTCCGGCGGTAAGGTCTCAACAAGTATGGAGCTAACACGAAAACTCACAAAAAGGTCGTGCGTGACCGACTTCACGCAGTTGTCCCTTGAACACTGCGGTCATGCTCTCAGGTCACTAGAACCACCTATAATCCAATTTCCTTTTCGGGTGCCTCTAGAAGAACCCTTCACGTTGCGGGCTACCGGAAAGTGATAACCGCCCTAATACAGCACTCAAGGTTGGGGAGAGTCAGCTCTCCCTCTGGAAATGCTTTCACATGGCCACGTGCATACAATCACTGCCAGGGGCGTCTTACTCACTGCCTTCTTGCTGTGGAGATGTGTTCACGAAATTGACAGGATGAAAACTGAATGTCCGGCGTTCTAACCGAGTTGGTGGACACGAAGTTGGAAAACTTCGATTCCAAACCAATGGTACACATGAGCTCCAGGATTCTGAGGGAACAAATGGAGTATGAACCTATTGTCGGTCACCGACCACTATTGGATTGCATCTACTTGAGATACTACACTGCCTTATGGATCAGACCTTTAGGTTGAAGCCTCCGTTGTAGCTGACTGTCTGATATAACACTTGTTTCGTAATGAATGTCTCTTCATCATATGTAATGTGTATTCTTCAGAAGTGAATGTCTAAGCACTGTGTTGCATATGAATAGATCTATATACATATTCAATATCTTAGTAATTATTTTCAGAGGTCTTCTTAATACTTTCATTTACATAAACTATTTTAGGCTAATGAGATATCGTGTGCAAATGACTCCCATAATACATGCATCAAAAATTGTAAGTTTAAGTAACTGTCTTTGTAAATTTTTATTTTCATTAATAACTAAACTTGAGTTTCTTTATACAATTTATGATGATTATATACCACTAAGTTTATTTCTTCCATTAGTGCAGCAGATAGATTTGATACTTCTCGTTTCAATGCTTGTTCAGTGATTCAGTAAATATTTTCAGCACCTTTCACTGACATTCATTTTTCCTGTACGTACCTCTCATTTGCCCCCAAATGCCCTGGTACGGCCGAGAGTGGGGAGAGTCCACTCTCCCTCTCGAAATGCTCTCACATGGCCATGCGTATATAGCCTCTGCCAGGGAAGTCCTACTCACTGCCTTCTCGTGGCGGGGGTGTTGTTTACGGAATTGAGAGCACGAAAAGCGAATGTGGGGCGCTTTAACCGGGTTGGTGGACATGGAGAGCCCACCTAAGGGAGTTGGAAAACCCTGATTCCAAACCAATGGTACACATGGGCTCCAGTAACCTGGGGGAACAAATGGCGTATGAACCAATCGTTGGTCACCGGCTACCATGGGACTGCATCTCCTCACGATTCTCTACTGCCTTGTGAGTCAGACGTTCAGGTCGAAAGCTCGGGGTGTGGCCTCCTAAGAAAACCACCTGCTTCGGTTTGGGCACCCGGGCAGTATCACAGCCCTCACACAAATCAATTGAGATTCGTGTGGCGCATATGTACTTGGTGCCTCCCTGTACCTATACTTATGTGTTGAAATAAATAAATAGTACGTACCTCTCATTTGTACTCACAAGGGAAACAAAGTGAATCTGTTTGTAGTGTTCGAAAAACAAAAGATTTTGAAATTATTTATCTAACAGACAGTTAAACAATAACTATTAATTATCTGATATGTCCTGATCGAAAATATACTCCAACCTAATGTTATGTAACCGATGACCACGAAACTACCTTGCGTAAAACAAACCACAAAGACTTGTATATTGTTTAGAAAGATAAAAAGGACGGTTTATAAGTTTCTTTCAAATCCCTTATGTGTATTTTTAGCGATGTATAGTTATCGCAGCATTATCAGAATTGTGTAAGACTATGAGATATCTATTAAAGCAGCTAAAAGTCGACATTTCTTTTGTAACAATATATTTTTAGTAATTTTATCCCAGGTTTTAGCAAAGGAATTATGATCTCATTAGGAATAATGAGTATCAGTGAAGCTGTAGTACGGAAACTGAAGAAACTACGTTTCTTAGGATTTAAACACCAGTTAGTCGTCTCCCTATTGTTTAAATCTTTAAAACCTTTTTTTAATTATGAATACAATAAAGATATTTAAGGAATTCATTGATAAACTCAAATGAATAAAACAATCACCCAGTGTTCTAATTGGTTTTCTGCTTATCTGTTGACTGAATACCACTCAATATACGTAGTAATGACATTTATTTATTCCTTCAGTCATTTTATTTGTAATGAGCTAAATTTTCTCTTGATATAACAACAATTCATTACAATTATTCTTTTTTTTCTAATTTCAGTAATTATGCAATCCTCAGAAAGTTGTACTGAATGTCACATGTTATTATTAACAGAAACAATGAACTCACTCGAAGCAATAAATTTAGGCTCTATTACTGTTCATTGGTCACGGTCAGTGTATAATATTTATATATATTCTGTTACTGTTGACATCTCCCAGCAAGACAAAAGTAGAAAATATACCGTGAAATCACCACTTACCAAACAGCATTGAGATGCTTTACTTATTCCTAAAAAATGTAACACACTTATCATTAGTAGATCACATCGCTATCAGCCACCGATGGAGGGGCTCGATAGAAGACTGTCGCTCGTTCTGGAACACGTGCTTAGATTCATATCATGCTCTAGTGCGAGTGCGTATTTGTCTGCGTCTTACTGGACGTAGGAAAGACACTGCAAGGAAAACTCTTAGGACCCTACTTAATGGTAGTCAAGCTAAGAGTATATTTCAGGAACAACTAGAAAAACAGTTGGGCAGCCATGTATGTGGTGCCCACCCCGAGGCAGCGTGAAATGACTTCCGAAATGCTGTGGAAACAACAGTGATATTTTAAAGAGGAAGAATGTATTTTTAAAATCTCAGCGAAGGAATTTGAAGTAAATCCAACGTGAACACTGTTTGTAGTAGGTTTTTGCATTAGTGTGTAAGTGACATGTGGTGTGAAACGAAAAGTGTGTGTATACGTAAGTGAGAGGAAATTTCATTCAACTATATATTGTCTTCGGTCTGTGTCTATTAAGAAAACATATCATTTTATATATGCTATGAATCAAAAATGTCACAGCATGCATTAAATGAAGATAAATAAACAAGATAAAAGACTGAATTCAAAGAGGATTGTATTTGTCAAGCGAATCGTTGGATTTACTTCAAATTCTTCCGCTGAGATTTTATAAATACATTCTTTAATGTCTCACACTAACTTGGCGCCCAAATATTGTGGAATTATTCGTTCAAATTCAGACGAAAGTTCTTATTTAGCAGTAATATCTGCTAGTACGGCAAATCACAAGGTTAAGGAGAAACACTGGATCTCAGCAGCATCTACCGCACTGATAGATGCTCGAAAACTCATTCCATCTGGTTCTGAATATAACGAAGAGCGGAGTCAGCTTAAACGCAAGCTGACAAGAGGCCTACGCAGCGATGGCGAACAGTGGTGGTTAGCGAAAGTAAGAGAGATGGAAAAAGTTGTGGAAATAGGTAACAGCAAACAACTGTTTAAACTTGTTAAGGAAACCAGTATTAGGAACCCAACTGTTAGCGAAACTATCTCAGAAAAAGATGGACATATTATACATTCTCAATCCGGATCTATGGGCAGAACACTTTAGGAATCAGCTCAACTGGCTTTCAACCACACTTCGGTTTCCCATGATCTCCAGTCGACCTGAATGGCAAGTTAATGTAAGTCCTCCGACTCTTTACGAAGTTGAAAAAGCTATAGGAAATCTGAGGCGTGGGAGATCAGCAGGCCCTGACAGGTTTACTCCTGAGATTTTTAAGGATGGTGGTCCAGTATTAGCAGCGGGATTGACTGAGGTCTTAGGTAGAATTTGGGAACTGGACGTAATCCCATCTGACTAGTCTCAATCACTGATTGTTCCAGTCTATAAGAAAGGACAAAAGTCCTCCTGTGACAATCACAGAGGAATCAGTTTGACTAATAGTGTCTAAAATATTAGCTTCAATATTACTTGGACGCCTAACCAAAGCTCGTGAAGAGCAGACTAGAGAAAACCAGGCTGGTTTCGACCTGGACGTGATTGTATAGACCAAATATTCACACTACATCAGGTTCTAGAACATAGACACATATTCAGACGCCCCACAATGGTAGTATTTCTCGACCTTAAGGCGTCATTTGACTCTGTTGATCGTGAGGTTCTATGGCAGTGTTTGTCACCGAAAGAAGTACATTAACCTTATAAAGGCTCTCTACTCGAACACAACTGGCCGAGTGAGAGCTTATGGCGAACTGTCATCAGAACTGATTACCTCAAGTGGTGTTCGTCAGGGCTGTCCACTCTCTCCATTCTTGTTTAACATTATCGTAGACATTCTTTTAGAGATAACACTTTCCACATTTGACTTTCCAGGGGTTGAACTTCTACCGGGAAATTCACTTATTGACTTAGAGTATGCCGATGACATAGTTCTATTTGGTGAGGACGCTGACAAAATGCATAGTATGCTGACCACTCTAAGCAACAATGCAGGTATGTTCGGGATGCGATTCTCTCCCTTGAAATGCAAGTTGTTGCTTCACGATTGGGTTGCATCGACACCCGAACTAATGATAGGGATTGAAGTAGTTGAGCGTGTCGACCGCTTCGCTTATATGGGAAGTCTCATCAGCCCTTGTGGTCTAGTGTGTGACGAAATCTCAGCACGGATACAGAAGGCTTGACAATCTTTTGCCAACTTTCGTCATTTATGGCGTAGGCGATATATCCGTCTATCAACCAAAGGACGTGTTTACTGCGCAGCTGTTCGTCCCGTCCAACTTTATGGCAGTGAAACATGGCCAGTAAGAGTAGAGGATATTTGTAGATTACTAGTATTCGACCATAGATGTCATCGGAACATTGCTCATATATCCTGGGACCACCGAGTAACTATTGTAGTTGTTAGGAAACGGGTACTAAGTAAGTATGGCAAATCAATTGATGATGTAGTGATACTTAATCAGTTGAGATGGCTGGGACATGTGTTACGCAAGCCCGACCACCGAGTGCCCGGACGTGTGATGTTTTATGGTGTAGGAGTAGGTTGAAAGAAAGCTAGGGGTGACCAGAACAGAACATGAAACGAATCCATGAAGTCACTGACAAGTGGACTGAACCATATTGGTAGGTGTAGACAACCTGGTTGGGATCTGCGAGATGATAGCAACCGATGGTTAGAGACCTTGAATGACATGGCTCAAAATCGTTTGCAATGGCGCAGGTGCATCCACTCTGTGTGTTCTCCCAAATGCTAATCTTCTGAATTCTTCATGTCCCTTTTTTTCTCTTTCCAAATTTATTTCATTGGGTTATACTCCTTAAATAACATCTTCAAACCTTAATGTTTCCGATTACTGCTCATACTCTTACTACCTCTACCACTACGGGATTTGAATCGACAACTGCATCTCTGTGCTAATGTGGTATAGTAACTTGAACTGATGTACGTACGTAAGAAGTTCTACGTTGTTACTGACTGACTGACATTAGTAAAGAGATGAGTAATTTATATTCAGTGAATGTATTAATATTCATTATGAACTTAAACATTGTAAAATTGAATAAAAGCAAACTTAAATATTATATGAAGTTTCGAGTAATATTTTCAGTGAAATACATAAATTGTTCTTTCATAAACCGCCTGATTTGTTAACCTCCGATGTCTCGATAACATTACCGAAGTAGATTGTTGTTCTTCTAAATAATTTTTCGAAATTCTTTCAGATTGTTCCCACATACATTTATATAATGTTGCTAAATCAAAATTTTGAATACTGTTGTGCAGCGTACTAAAAGACAAATAATCATTATACCTTTTTTTAATTTTGTGCATTACAGTTTTCTTAGTGTGACAACTAAATAGTGAACATAATGTTCACTACTATACTTGTCCTCCTTAACAACACGCTTCTTTTTCGCCCTGTACAGCTTGGTTATATCAGGTTGTTTTCGTACCTCCTTTTACCTAGTTGAATTAAAAATTAGTACTGTCAGTGTCACTTTAGGGATTAAATATTCAGCCCCCATAAATTAAAGCTCCATATAACTCTAGAAACTATGCATGTTTCATGTTTCGTTAATAAATTATCGTTCTCTGTATCTTGTTGAATACCTCAATCAATGCTTTTGCTGTCAATGTGGTGAAAAATATATACACCCCTTGTTTTCAAAATATACTTAATGTAACCGAGTTTAGAATAAAAAATTCATTTTCATGTATATTCAACCAACTTATGATCAGTTTTATGCATTTTATGTTGAATCATCCAGACTTAGACTAAATGATAAGTGAAAAATATTTACGGACTTACGCTACTGGTTGAAAATGTTGCTTCATTTTTCGAGAGAAAAAGATATATATTTATGTTTGAGTTGCAAAGGTACTCTTGATTTAGTTATCCTTTAAAAGCTTCTTACTTTTAGTTTTCTCACTCAAGTACTCGTTTTAGAAATTCATATAGGAATCTTTTATATCAGTAGCAAACTCGGACAACCTCAGTACATACTGGTATGTTTAATTAATTGAAGTAGAATTAATGTTTCTAGATAATTCGTTTATCCTCTCTCTCCCTCTCTTTTTATAGTGTGTTATCACGTAATGATGATAATATGAAACCGTATATTGCAACGACAAAATTCGCTTTACCGACTATTCCGGTTTTATCTTTACCTATTCAAATTAGTGCAGAACTTCCAGCTTATGGTGTCATGCTCACCCCATTTCCAATCACATTTATTTTATCTAACAAAACTATTTATCCACAGGTATTTCGAAAATCAAATTAATTTTTTATCATGCACATAATATTCATTTAAATATAATTTATAATAGTTATTCATCTAAAGAGAATAAATTTACCAGTTAATCTACTTTGTCGGATGGCATACGTATACAGTCAAGGCAGTAATTTAATCTACACATATTTCAATATAAAATTGTTTAAAGGGACTTCGATAAACAGTGTTTTATCAACATGATTCTGGACATAACATGTTATCGTTTGTAATTCTAGCGTTGAATTATTTCTGTACTACTCTATTACGTATGACTGTTTTAACTCAGGCGTGATTGCTGAATGGTGTTTCAGTGTGGTATTTACTTCACTCTATTCCAAACCATCTAGTCCACAGTTTTATACTAACTCTCCTATCTTAAAAACCAGTTATACACAAACGTGTTCCTCTTCTGGAAGTTAGATTTGGATTTCAGTGTTTACTAGTGTGGTCTAATTTCTTGTGTGAAGTATTCAATGAATACTTTGAAACAAACAAATACCGGATATGAAAAAAATTCACGATCAAAGTATGTCATTTGTATCTGTTGTTTATTTTATAAAACTGAGAACAACTGCCTTTTCGATAGAATCTGGCATGACAAGTGAGTAAATTGATCCAACTAAAATAGTTTCGTAGTTAATACTGGCGATTCTATTGTGTAAATAAAGAAATGATATAGGATAATCTCCAGAAACATGCCCTGTTTAGAACACAGGCTACTTATATTAAATAAGTAGTGAAAGTCATAAAACGATTTTTTAAGATTTTAAATTATGTATGTAAAATATGTATACCTTTTGTCAATCATCATGATTAATTTTATAAAACTCCCTTGATTCGGAGTTTCAATATGAATTTTGTTACCAGTTAAATATAAATGTAAAAGTGTTATCCGATTTCATATATGTTGAGGTATATAATGCAATGTTCTTGTCAACGTATGTATTAAACAACTATATTTCCCCTGTATACGAAACAACAGTAAATCGCTCAGTTTTAATTCTGTTTAGTTTTGTCCCAACACTCAAAAAACTGAAATTTCGCCTTACATATATATGAAGACTGGATTTATTCTTTTCTTGATGATGGAGAAGATTTATAACTGAGGTTGATAGTTTTTTGTGAAATTAATAGCTCGTCCTGTCGACTTCGAAAAGTTCACTTCTACCTGAATTTTATGCTGATGATGTTCAGTAAAAAAATGAAAACTACAGGATTATTCCATCCAGCTCAAACAATGAAACTTCATCAAGATAATCTTGAAGTACTGTTATTTGTGACGTTCGCTTCATAGAAGGAATTAGCAGAGTATTAATTCACTCCACTTAATAATCATCAAGGTAATTTCGTAAATGTAGCCGTGTCGGTGATTCGGACAACCAAATCGGCTATAGATATTCGTCAATCTAATCGATGGATTTTAAAGATATCGGGCGAAATTGTGCAATTCTACAGTTTAATACATGAACGTACAATTCACAGCTAATTTCTTTTTTGTGAAAAGAGCGAATAAATTTTCTTTCAATTAGTTTTTCATCGTGCCTCTTCATTAATATACATTTTTTATGATTTACAACAATGAAATAATACTCATGGAGTAGTTGCGTTACGTAATAATTGAAAATAAATTTATTCGCTCGATTTCTTGAAATGGGGATTTTCACTGTAATTTCTGTTCGTTCCTTTTTCATTCTTGGGTTCCTCATTTTTTTATTCACTAAACTAGGAGGCTGTTTTTCAATTGGAATCGATTCATGGTTTTATGTTTTCTGGTCAACAAAAGCTGAAGTTAAGATTACTGCCTGACTCACCGCACTACTTGAATTATACACTACTTCCATTGATGTCTGGAAATTTGAAGTTGCCTCGGTAATTTTAATTACTACTTTCCAAATTGATTGAAAATAATAATAGATTATTTTCGAAGTATGTTCTTTATCATTGCTAAAGTGTACCAAATTATTCGATGAAACTTTGTATGTTGCTTTTTTGTAATGGTTGTACATAGTAAACATTTTGGTAAGACGATTTTTCCCTTTATTGTTCATTATTAAAGAGGCGAAATATGACATTTTCCCTGTACAATGTATTATAGTTCATTTTATCTAAAACATATTTATCAGTCCCTAGAATGAGAATGCACTGTTTTAAAATTTCCTATTGATCCTAATACTTCATTTACTCCGTTAATATGTAATCTATCTGATAAATACTTTCGAAATCGAATCCCTACTATTGTGTGCAGATTCCCATCATTAACTGTAAACCATAATTCATATCTTGTCTTACGTTGCTTCCCGGTTGCTTAAATATTGTTACGTTTCGTCGCAGCTAAACCAACGACCCATTGGTTAAAAATAAGTTCATTTAATGACTTATAGTTATTGGGACGTCGCGTTGTATAGATTCTGTTAACTTAAGTGTTCGAAATATCTTGTAGGTTAGTAGTCAAAGTTTCTATATACCACAATCTTTACCTGATATCATGTAGTTGTTGAGACGTACCTAAAAACCATGAACCTGAGTTTTAAACTAGGTGTCAACCATCAAGAAGGCATAGTTGCAGTCTTGATGCAGTTAAAGTTCCTCATCAGGATTCAAACTGGTCTTATATGTATTTCCGTTAACTCATTCGGGCTATTACTAACCTCTTGTAGAATTAAGAAAATTTACTCTACTTGACCACCTGATTGATAGTAAACAATATCAGTTTGTTTAGTCCTTGGTTCTAATCTGATTTTCCATTTATTTCCCAATCAATCTTAATCAAGCAAGACGTCTGTCTATCCATATGATTTTATGGTCGAAATTATCTGCTAATTTAGTTATTTGTCTTGAAAAAACTTCATGCTTCACTTCATTTTTCATGTTCTTTCAATATGATTGGAATCGTATAGTGTTAGTTCAGTAAACGGTAAATTGTTATTTATTGTCTCACTAAATTACCATAACCATACCGTCATTTCGTTGTGTTCAGTGTCTATCAGAATGCGGTTATACACTAAGATTATGAGTCTTAAATAATAGTTTTTTTCGGTTACAATACTAGTGTAGTAAATTTTCATAGTAATAATGCCTTTCAAAAATAAGCCTATACTTCACTCATTCGTTTATTTGAAGCCCAGTGCCTAAAGCCGTATCTGATAAATAAGTTACAGGTATTACAACTTGCACAACATTTTTAAGTTATATACACCCGTTTAGTATTCCCTAACTAGTACAAAAAAATTTACGTATTCCTTCTTTTTAAATGAATTTTCTATCGATGCCAGTTTTTTCACCTTGGTTTCTCACAAAATTACCTCTTAAATCTTTTCTATATATAATAGCTTGTGCGTTCGTATTTGACTAAATGATGTTTCTTATTGAATTTTTTAAAGTTTACATGTTATATTAGAACGTTATGCTACGTTAACATCAAACACGCAAAGTGATCAACCCGATATACACATACAATTAGAAGAAAATCTCCTACGACAAGTTCCAACACATCTGATAGTAATTGTAGGTTGTTAAAATTGTTGTCTTTATTATATACATTTTTATTTATTAATTTATTATTTTCATAATAAAAATTTTCCAATGTATTTCCATGAGTTTTTCATAGCTGAATTTTCTCTGTGTTCCAGGGCTATATTATTTTGTAAGATGAGGAATTCACAAAAACGTGATAATTTATTGTAAAAAGCTTGTTTAATTAGATCACAGATCCAAATTATTTTTTGTGAATTGTTTTAATCATTTCTACCTTAAACTAATTCTTAAATAAATGCTTACCTTAATGAATTTGACTTGTACAACCATTTAAAAAATTTTTAATTAACTCATTCTCCAGATACTTGGATATCAGCCTCACTCTAAGTTTGAGTGCTTATGTTACTACCCTGTTTGTTCGAACTAGAAACTTAGTGGCTAAAAGTCAAACTCCCTAACCATCAAGCCATCTCTCTACAGGGTATCTATAAATACCTGTTATTTGCAGCTCACACAGTAGTATCCAACAGTATAATTATATATAAATTCAAAAACAAAGAATATTTGAGCGAACAATTGTTTTCAACCACTTCATCAGACTCTACAGTTATAAGTTCACAATCATTGCCAAAATAAGGCATGCATTAATGAATTTTACAATATCATATGTTGAAAATGGTGAATGATTGCATCTGTTACGAACTAACTAATTAAAAATGGTGTTAGTTATAAGTGTCATTTAATAAAGGTCAGAATGATTTGTAGTAAAGTGTCAAGTCATAATCATAACAACATTCATATAATAATAGAAGAAAAATCGTATTATGATGTTCATTATCTACCAAGTGAGGAAGAATGACCTTAATAATCGATTTAGTGACTGCTTTTCCCAACCATTTTGGTACATGTATCCAGAAGTATATCCAGCCTCTATGTCTAGCTTGGTCTACGACTGGATCACCAGATACATAAACTAGATATTATATACCTCTTATTCCCTCTGCCAATTCCTTTAGCATTTATACCTTTCTTAATTTACACTCCGTCTTTCCCAATTCACATGAACTCATTTTTCAAGTACTTATCTTGATAACACCTCTCTTATTACTTAGTATAGTCACACAACGTTATTATTATCATTACCATTATTACCTCTATTATTATATGACCGTTGTACTGATTATGACTTGACACTTTACTACAAATCATTCTGTAGTCTGGTGATGAAGTTGTTTAAAACAATTGTTCGCTCAAATAGGAAGTAAGGCTAACAAACTAACATAATAGACTCATAAATTCCACGAATAAGTCATCATAATTATATTCATCCGTCAGTTTGAATTTTTCATAACAACAAGTATGGTGCAAAATGTTTGGATGATTTGATAATAATTGCAAGCATAAATCATGGCAAATTTAACCTGTAGATTTCGAATATTTACCGTCAAATGAGTGTCCAAACTATAATTTCGTATATTCAAAAACGAAAATAATTTAGTTGTGGACTACTGCGGCAACCTGAAGTTAACGGTTACTTCCTTTTTTATGTGTAAATCTGATCGTAGACATTTAATTGCAAATTTAAGAATAATAACTCTCTTTCGACACGTCCTCATACTATCTTTTATATGGCAGTTATCAGTAACTTAAAGTCTTTTCTCCTTGTTGATTGTTTTTACGGAATGTATTCATCCAAGTTAAATCAGATCTAGCTTTATTCATCTGTGAATTATATTTGTCTCATCATGTACATTAAACTCACAGAACACTGAAAAAGCATAAACGTTTTTCACTTGAGAAATTTATAATACCGTTTGATTAAAACATTAATATTTAGATAAGTCGGACTATTTAATAATTTTATATTTTGTGAAATTTAGATCAATTTAACATTTTAGTGTATAAAAACTACTTCGTAATGCAAAATTTATTACTAACCAAATTGTTTTACACTTGAATAAATATAAACTTTACATAATACATCCTTATACGTTAGTGGTGGTATTATTATTATTCTAGTTAGATGTTAAAAGTTGACACCATGTATTGTTTGTCTTCCATTCTGCTTTGTTCTATTACTCCTAGTTCGTATTAGAATAACAACTCGTTTTTTTTCTCATCTATAATATTACTTTGCATCATATATAGTGTTTTGTGTTATGAATTTGTCAATAATAATTCATATTTTGATGTCAATCGTGTTAGATAATCAAACCCATTGTTAATGACTTTTATTGCCACTCGATCATCATTTTTTTCTTTTTTATGCATCCGACTATCCTAGATGTTTGTCCGTTTGTAGTTTAACCACGTGTATGGAATATCTAAACCTGTTACATATCGTTGTACGTATATATGTTATATTTATTCACAAATACTACTAACACATATTTTGTTGATTTCTTTATATTTCCTAATATCATATTCTATTATTCTTGTTTATCTACTTTATAAAGCCATCAACGGATGGATTGTTTGAATCATCTGAGAAAAATTCAATATTCAATCAAGAAGAAATTAAAAATGTGTAATACGATATATATATATATATATATATATATATATATATATATATATATATATATCTGAAAATATTCTGTCACACTGTTGTTTTATAAGTTTTAGTTGCCTTTTTGAAAAAACTTAAATATGAGCTTTTTTCATTTGTCTGTTCTAAGTAACTTCTTATCCCTTGACTTTTTTTTGCTTATTATTATTACAAACCATAAATACCTTAATTTTTACTTTCAATAATGAATTCTCCGAAAATTTCGTTCCATCTCTTTTTTTTATTCTTTGCAATGCATCATTTTTGGAATGTTTTTTGTATCATAATTTCTTTATTTCCAAATAAATCAATTTACATTGTTTTTCAACGTTCTTTTACTTTTTTTAGATTTCATTAGTGGGTTATTTGAGATTTCATCCGCTATTATCCAACTTTTCATAGGTATATATTGAAAATTCACATGGAAAGCAACATTTTATTCAACACAGTGCTTTAGTAGTGATCTACGATTGATAAAATATTAAAACTGATCGATAGTTTCAATTGTTGACGTCTTAGAATTCTAGAGATCTTTTATTCTTTGAGCAAAATGATTAAGTTGTGTAATCAGATATTAAAATGTCTTCACAAATGTCTATCGGCTTTTTCTGTTGTCATGGATTTCACTTAGTTCTTCTTTGCAATTGTGTTGTTGTTATTAGCACGCTAATTTTGATTATCTGTTCTTAAGATTTAATATGTGACCTAGTAATTAAACGTTCATGCTCTCGTCTGATTGACCGGGTCTATTTTAATGTGTCTATTGATCGATGAGTGAACAAAGTACCATATTTATAAAAATCGTGGTTAAATTAGTGTTTTTTCTATCCGATATTTCGACATTTTCTCCGTTGCACTAATGTCCATAGTTATCCACGTGCATTTGTACAAGTGGAGGTATGTGATTGTGTTTAACGGATAGATATTGCTCACTTATATCTCGTTGTATAAATTATTTATTTTTCATGTAAAACTTGACCTCAAGAATTCAACAAGTAGTTTTCTCAAGCTATCACATCTATAATATGTAACTGGTGTATTTGTAGGTTTCACTCTCTATTTGTATAGTTTACTTCCCCGGTCACTTTAATTGATGAAATGAATAATTTTTGTGTGGTTAGTACGTTATATATCCCTGAACCGTTACCATCATACCGGTCTTCGGTTGTGAGTCAAAGTATTTAAATATGATCTTGTGTGTGATAATTAGACGATGAATTTCATTAACGAGGAGAAATAATTTCTTTTTAAGGAGGTAAGATTGGAATGGAAAGGCGTCCACTCAAATTCTCCAAAATAACATGAGCGAGTATTAAACCTCTTGATATGGTGTAATCATCTTAAATTATTACTCACTACGATTAAAGCTTTGTGATTTTGTAATCTTTGCTTTCATTTTTTGATGGTACAGCTTCATTTCAATTATTTCATAGCTTTACTCATCTATTAATTAGGAAATGTTGGATAAGAAAATCTAGTTTCCATCTCAATTAAGTTGTCACTTGTAATCCTAAGTGTTGTCGAGACTTAGGGTGCCACTCAGTTGCTAACTCGCTCTTTTAACGGTGGGTTAAATAATGGTCTCATCGTATCACTTGAATGAAGTTGAAATCGAACTCTATTGTATCGTACTCGCTGGTTATCATAAGTGAACAACAACTACTACACGAGGATGATACAGGTGCATGTTACTCCCTGATTTGATGAAATATACCTTCGATTTGAACTGATCTATTTGTATCCGAAGACGATTGAATTATTGGTAACTTCCGGAAAATATTTATAGACTGTGATTATATATTTATTTTTCTCTTTTCATAAGCTATCATTTAACCTATTAGCTACTATTATACGATTTACTATTCTTAATTCATCCCCAACCTACTGGTTACAGTCTACCACACATAGACACTTTTGGCTTGCGTTTGCATACCTATTATTTTCTATTTTGTGGTGTGATGCGATTTGGTCTGCTTGTATATGAACTACTTATGTCTGAAATATATGATTCATACAGTGGAATCTGATATTGTGTTCTGAACTCAACGACAGGGCTAGGCAAGAAGCTACTATATTAAGGATCAATAAGGATTCAGAGTGCTAGGTCATAAAAGTCAATATTCCAATTGGCGATTTTGTCACATAATAATTGACAGGGTTAGAAGACATTCTCAAGATACCATAAAACTAAATATTTCATAATGATTAGTTGCAGACTAATCGAACAAGTAAAACTTCGATCATGAAATTAATACATATCCCACTAAGCTTCTTATGATAAAAAATGATCATTGGTTTAAATCTGTGATTTAGAGCGAATCAATAATTAAAATACATTCTTTTCTATTTCCCCTTGTATAATTACTTCTTGTAATAAATACCGCGTTTGAAACGTTGTAACCACCTGGTTAGTATTCTTAAATCTAGACAGGCATTAAGGTTCCACATATTTTTCAATTGTTGGAATTCATGAGTATATCTTATATTGTCCACCAAAGGATTTACTTAGTGATTAAATGTCGAAAAAACATTACGAAATGTACATGAACTACAAACATAGGTATCTCTTTAACATTTTAAAATACACTTCCCAAAGATATTTATTTAAAACACGACCAGTACATATTTACTCCCATCATGTGTTTACTAATCAGGTGTGCTGCTGTTAACATAATTCACACTGAAGGTTTTAGTGCATTTATCCTGTGTTTATTGATCCATAGTGATCACATGGTATCCGTAATGCCTGAAATAATAACGAATACAGTTGTAAAGGCTTAAAATAGAATTCTAGATGATCTTACTATTTTTGGCTATTGATTTATATAAATTTGTTAAATCTTGTAAATTAAATGGATTCTATGAGAATTTGTCCTGTTTAAGTATAATTGTTCATAGAAGTTAGTTGGTCTTACTGATGCCCTTTGTTTTGTGTCAAACTTTTACCTGTGATCCTCTGAATGATCAAATTCGTGTCGTGGTTTTACTGACTGATTGACTCGTATTCATTCGATTAAAGTAAAGCTCTGTGATCGGTATTCCGTTCAATCTATACTGACTCAAATGAAGATATCGTTTACAAGTAATCCCCGTTAACAACTTTTTGCTTGTACAAAGTCTAGTTTTTAGGGTTTCTACACACTAAATACATTACTTCAAGATGCTTAAGTAGTTTAAGTACTTTAATTTCACTTTTTTGTTTGTTTTGATGCAAAAGATCTGTAAGTGATGGGGTGAATCCCATCATGCTGAAAATAATACGACAACCAACTATTGATGAGTAAAGTCTTCGCAGTTAAAGAATAAGTATGTTTTTGAGATGGTGGAGAAGATTTTAGCTCAGGTGTATGATTTTGATGGAGTTTTGTTCTCTGAGCTAGATGGTTTGTAAATACATTTAAACATTTAGACAAATCATCATCTTACTTAAATTCTCAAATCTTTGAATTAATACAGTCTTGGAACTCACTCTTCTAACTTAACTGGATTTCTGGTGATAAATATTACTCTCTTTGAATTACTTGGTACATGCTTCTATCACTTTTTTATTTTAGCTTTGTAATTAGACTTCTCTAAATTACATAATAAGTAGATTATCATCACATGAGCTGCTGTAATTTAGAATTATTCTGCACCATAATTTGTGTTTTCTTCGTTTGTATACTTGTAGTGGGTTAATTGTGATAAAAGTAACCAAAATGTTACTAAACTGTTGTAGTACTTTTCAGAAGTTTGAAGTGAGCATCCTTCAACATTTCACATGTATACGTATGAATTACACTATCAAATAGTATTGTAAAATAAGAGAGAAACAAAATGATTAGCACACAACAATCTGTTCTGAGAAAAAACGTATGTCATTAGACGCTGTGTGGATTGAGATTTAAGGCTCTGCTATTCTATCTAGATATGTCATGAGTGCGCACCAACAGCAATAGGTCTCAACATACGCAAAGGGAAAAGTAAGATTCTCCGATGCAACACAGCATGCAAAAATCGAATCACACTTGTCAGAGAAGCTTTGGAGAATGTGAAATCCTTTACATATCTGGGCAGCTTCATCGATGAACACGGTGGATCTGATATAGATATGAATGCGCGGATCAGCAAAGCAAGAGCAGCATATCAACAACTGAAGAACATCTGGAACTCAAAACATTTGTCAACCAACACCAAGGTCAGAATTTTCAATAATGTCAAAACAGTTCTACTGCATGGGGCGGAAACTTGGAGAACTACGAAAGCCCTCATCCAGAATAGTATTTAATAATAGTTGTCTACGCAAAATACCTCGGATCCGTTGGCCAGACACTATCAGGAACAACCTAATATGGAAGAAAACAAACCGGATTCCTGCGGAGGAACAATCGCTGGAAGTGGATAGGACACACATTGAGGAAAGCACCGAACTGTGTCACAAGGCAAACCCTCACATGGAATCCTCAATACCAGAGGAGAAGAGAAAGACAGAATAACACATTACGCTGAGAAATGGAGACAGACATCAGAAGAATGAACAATAATTGGATGGAGCTAGAAAAGAAGGCGCAGGATAGAGTGGGTTGGAGAGTGCTGGTCGGCGGCCTATGCTACATTGATAGTAACAGGCGTAAGTAAAAAAATCGTATTTGTGTGTCAGTTGATTGGTGGGTTGTTGGGGACGATAGATCCCCGAAAACTCATAGTTTGTAATTTGTCTTGTGGAGCTTGTATGCACATGTATACGTAGGCATTTCTTACCACCCACGCACATAGTTGATTGGCGAATTTATCGATTAAATGTTTAAATATTTCGATGGCAGTCAATTGACGAACTATCGATTATATGTTTAAAAGCTCCATGACAATATCGATGTATATATATTTGTATATATACGTTTTAAAATTGTCTTTGTAAAACGTTTGCTGGTTTCGGGTTGTTGCAGAATATACTTCTCATTCCAAGCTTGGTCTTCTCTCTCTAGATAGTGGGCTGGGACGCGTCAATAGATAGCTTACTGTTCGTTGGTCACTGAATCTCGTTCTCGTTCGCAAACTACGAGAACCCGTGATCTCTCTCTCTCTTTCAAAACCTAACATGGGTGAACAGTGTATCATATTTTTAAAAATTGTGGTTGAGTTAATGTTTTCTCTACCTTATATTTCGACGTTTTCTCAGCTGCACTAATGTCCATAGTTGTCCATGTGTCTTCGTACTATTTAAACTCAATTTTATTTATTTTATTTGTTTACTCTAAGGAAGTTACATTAAGTCACGAAACATCAGAAATACAATTTGCCCAATGCCCAATTTATTTGAAACTATTAAGTCCAACCTTGTCATTGAAATGTACATTTGTTTTATGTTTTATACTGAAGTATCTGCAAATCACACTTATCAAGTAGCTTATTAGATATACACTACCCCTACTGTATTAACACATTTGAGTGTGATCTAAACAATTTTCGTAAATCGACAAATAAAAGAGACTATTTTCCGTGTGTAAAATCCAATGTATTACTCATTGGTTTATTCAGAAAACATTAATATAACTTATCTCGCTAAATAAGTTTACACACAGCTTAAATAACACCAAAATATTATAACTAATATTAGTAACTTCCAAACTTATTTTCAGTTCATTTATCGGTAGATTATCAAAGAAATCTATCGCTTTATTTTAAAAAAGTAATAACATTTCAGCCAAGAAAGTTTTCCTCCTAATAACATCGTTTACTTACGCTATATATTTTCATTTAGAATAACTACAAACATTTGATCCTTACATCAATAGCATATGTAAATAGACTAACCTATCTGAAGACACTCGATAAAGTATCTATATCCTATGGATTCTAGAACATACTCTCCCTTTCTGTAGGCAGCCTAGTCTCATCGCTCTTTCAGGTTAATGTGTCTTGGTATATGCTTTCAAAGAAGACGTTAGTATTCATTCATAGTGTGTCATTTAAAATGGAATTGAAATAAATTCAAGTTACTTTGTTCTCGAAATCGCATTATTCTTCCCTCGTATCAAACCATCAAGCTTACCAAATGTGTAAAAATCGTACTTTATCGCTGGAAAATTACTATCGTCAGAATCGATCACAACTCTTCTCCCCAATTAATTGACTTTGGTATTATTGTTTATTTATTTATTTGAACACATAAATACTGGCACAAGAGGGAACCAGACAAATCTCATTTGATTTGTGTAAGGTCTGTGATACTGCCTGGGTGCCCAAACCGAAGCAGGTGGTTCTCTTAGGTGACCACACCCCGAGCTTTCGACCTAAAGATCTGATCCACAAGGAAGTGGACCATCTTAAGGAGATGCAGTCCCATGGTAGCCGGTGACCAACGATTGGTTCATACGCCATTTGTTCCCCCAGGTTACTGGAGCCCATGTGTACCATTGGTTTGGAATCAGGGTTTTCCAACTCCCTTAGGTGGGCTCTCCATGTCCACCAACCCGGTTAAAGCGCCCCACATTCGCTTTTCGTGCTCTCAATTCCGTAAACAACACCCCCGCCACGAGAAGGCAGTGAGTAGGACTTCCCTGGCAGAGGCTATATACGCGTGGCCATGTGAGAGCATTTGGAGAGTGAGAGAGCGGACTCCAAAATCTCGGCCGTACCAGGGCATTATTGGTAGTTCCCTTTGACTTGAGTTTTTCTATAATATAACGACTTGATTGATAATCCTCTTACTAGACAGATGAAGTATTTTAATAATCAGCTTACAAAGAAAACTAGAATTTATTTGCCAAACATTTATATCAGCAGTATATCTCTAATATATACCCAAATTGAATGGTAATTACATAATGATATTTTCGAACTAATCTTAAAGTCAAATTTTTAAAACCATACTAAATTTATCAAGTAACTCCTTTTATTAGTTAAAATTTATAATGGCAATGATGTAATCTTTCATTTAATAGTCTATGTCATAAAGATAATAGTTATAAGAATGATTATGAAACTTAAGAAAATGATTGAATTGTAAAGGAAACAATTTTTTTAACTTTATGGTCCCTATTACGTATTTACGCGGTTCAATGTTTTATATTTCGACTTCATAATCATTGAAATGACATTTTATGTATTTCATTTAATTACGTATTGCAAATTTACTAAATTTTAATGATTTTTGCATAGAAAATTTTAATGAAAAAAAAAAACATGACTCAGAAGCTAAAAAATATAACTCAGAGACAAATCACTTTACTGAATAATCTAAATAAAGATACTTTTGATAACGGCAGATATGAAGGTAATCATAACTATAATGAAAATGTCCCTTATCATACATACATATACATTAGAAAAATAAATACCATAATAGTAGTATTGAAAATAAATATACTTATATAAACAAGAATTTATTATTTTTTTGTAAAAGAAATGAAAGTAAATCAAAACCTTTTTCATTTGTACAAAAAAATGACATCACATGAATTATCGGTTAAAACGTTGTCATAAATGGATCGTTTTTTCTTGACAATAAAAGTGAAATAAATAGATCATTAAGAAGAGTATAATGAATAGATAAGGCAAGAAAAATAAACAAAGTAAATTGGACATAGATGTGAGGTATAGTTATGAGATATCACAAAGTTAACTACAAACATGTATTCTCACGTTACTTTTTATGGCTTTCAACGAACAGGAACAAAAGCTTATCACGAATGAATATAATTCTGATGATTGAGAATATTTGTGAACCCAAAACAAGAATTTTAGTAGTCTTGTATTCTTTGAGCAAAATGACTAACTTGTGAAACGTTTACTGCCTTTCTAGACGAAAGAAATCAGATATGAAAGTTTTTTCATAACTGCCTGTTGGTTTGTTCTGTTGACATGGATTTTACGTAGTTCTTTGTAATTGTGCTGTTGTTATTAACATGTTAGTTTTGATTATCTCTTCTTATGATTTGGTATGTGACCTACTCCTAACGGCTTTACTAATCTGTTTCTAATCTTACAAATGTTCATCATATAGAGAAGCATTATTCTGTGGTTGATTTTTGATGCTGACTTTATATTAGTTAGCGACGTCAATTCGTATTTCGAGATATACCCATTAGATACTTTTCCTCATTTTGTGTGTTGATTCTGTAATTTGTCTTCGTTCTTTGAAAAGGGTTTGTATATAGCTTGATTTATGAGTCATTATGTTGTTTCCCGTGTTACTATGGATTTGATCCGTATCAGTTGGCTTCCGATAAACTTCAGTCTAAAGTTTCTCCGTATTAGTTGTGGTGACTAACACATCTAAAAATTGTTTTTTGTTGATTCTGTCCCTAACGCCTAATTCATATACCAGCACAAGTGTAAAACGAGTCAGTTCATAAATGTTCTTTTTATTATAATGCAATTCATAATACATTGATTTCTGTAGAAAGAATTAGGTATTACTGACATTATTTGTTATATACTATTGATAGAGCTAAAAATACCTAATTATGTGAGACATTTTCGACGACGACCTATGAAATCCAAACAGATCTGAAATCATTAGTAGCATTAAATGATCATCATGTAACAGTGGGATAACGGAAGACTTTGGTAGGGTGAACCCATTTACTGAATCATGTGAAATCACACACTGAATTTTCAAAATATGAAAACAATACATTGAGTACATTATTTTCCTATCTTTATTGAATTGTCTCTTACATGTTTCATCGTTCTTTTCCTGTTGCTATTAGGCTGCTTCTGTTTTACCTTCTCTTCTCTTCAAGTTCTTCTGTCAGAAAAATCCAACTTCTAAATCTTGATGCATACTGCTGATATCTGTTCGTATAATTAGCACACACCACAATGTCACCGATTGATTGAATCATCCATTGATTTCAAAATATTGTACCCACTGTGATCTTCAGAGGTCATAAAATCAATCCGATGTATAGTTAAAACGTTCACTGAATAGGAGCCCTAAATCAGCATAAAATGTCCATCCAGTTCTTTTTCATCCCCACTCGTCCAAGTGATATGAATCAATGATACAAAAAAATTATATTACATATTTTCAATCAATATAAATATCCCTTGTTATTTTCCATTTTAATCAATGGTTTATTTCTCTAAAGAACGAATTCCAAGTTACAAACAAATCTCTTCATGCTTGCGCAGTTGACAGTCAACATTCTTTCCGAAATCTTTCCCTAACATAAATCCAAATACATACAACTTTTAAATAATGTTATTTCTAATATCATGTACTTAACTATTATTTAAGTCATTCAACTGGTTACCAAATTTAATAAATGAGAATGTGAAGCATTTTTGACTGAAACATTCTTATTTTAAATTTGAATTATAGTAGTCATTTCTTAGTTCTAAACACCTTCACCAACAGTCTGTCATTACATTGAACAAAATAAGCTTTTTATATAGGAAATTGGAACGAAATACGTCGGGAAAAGATGAAGGTATAGGATAGATCACTCGAAATGATTCCGATTTATCTACATTATGACCGCTATCAGTTAGATGTGCCAAGATAGAACTGCGTATTGTTTTTATATGGCTCTTCATAAACCATGCTGGTAAATGTTCACTCATTCGTTAAGTTGCCTGGTAGTACGCCCGATTTAGCTATCTCTCCAGGAGCAGCTGAATTTGTAAATGAACATTGAGGAGGTCAACTCAGTTAACTTATCCTTCGTTTGATTAGACATCACTGGTCGACTCGAGAAATTCAACGCAAGATTGTAGGTATCATTACCAAGATTCGATTTAATAATTTCGAATAAATTGAGCATTAGGTAGACTGTTATAAATAAATAATATATTTGTAATATCCCAATGAGTAGAAAAATTAGATTTTCTGACGTTTCGTGACTCAGTGTAAGTCACTTCTTCAGAGAATAAATAACCAAATTAAAACTAATCCAATAAGAATAATATTCTTATTGTTCCTTTTCACTATTTAAATTTGGATTAGTTTTAATTTGGTTATTTATTCTCTGAAGAAGTGACTTACACTGAGTCACGAAACGTCAGAAAATCTAATTTTTCTACTCATTGGGATATTACAAATATATTATTTATCAACGCAAGATTGGCTGCGTAGAATGTCCAGCTAATTACTTTCATTAACCTATCTTTCAGAATATCGCTAGCTTTTGTAAATAGCTAAGAAAATTAGACAATTTAATTTCATCACAGAAAGCTTTAACCAGTATACTGATATTTAAATCTAACTATAACTTTCACGAAAAAACATTTCCAATTATTACTACTCTTTATTGTAATATTTTATCAACAAGTATTTATGTCTTATTAAAAATACTACATACTAATAATGTTCACTAATTATTTGATCATTGTATATACTTTAATTAAACTACAATCATCATTTTCATTTACGTGGGTTAAGTCAATTGACTAAAATCGTCCACATTAATGTGCCAATCGTCACAGATGAAACAAATGTTACCTATCGTTAGTGAATTACATAATTCACAAAAAACACCATTTTTTTATAAATCCATATAATCAATGCCAAGGTTGGACGTGATACTTCCAAATAAATTGAACATTGGGTAGAAATCAATAAAAAAGTATTTTTTGTTGTAATATACCAATGAGTAGAAATTGTATTTGTGATGATTTATGACTTCATGTAAATCACTTCTTTAGAGTAAACAAATGAAAGAAATAAAATTAACACAAGTTTATGCAGTACAAATGAAACAATGAAGAATAGTTTTAAAATAATCAAAATCATAATGGGTCTGAACATGTCAATGACATGTTATTCTGATCAAGGTGATTCTATATGACACATCATTACATTAATTTGTGCATCAGAAGGTGATTATGAAAAATGTATACATATATAATAGGAAGTAATGAGGTTGAAATTTAGTGCGTGTGTGTGTGTAGACTATGTGGAAAATGAACAGAGTCAGTATTTAATTGTTTGGATCACCAATAGTCTAAGAAATGCTTTAGTTGTTATAAAATATCTATATTCAGACTAGGGTTGTGTTGACTGTGATACGTTCTACATTAGAGTGTCTTCTCGCACTATCTCGACTCGTGCCAAAGAGCATGTAAGTTACAAGGAAAGACCTAACAATACAGTATAAACGGAAAACCTACAAGTTAAATCAGCAATAGCAATACATGTTATTTTCACTAATCACCAAATTGACATAAAAATATCAAAATAATTCGGAAAGGTATTTCCAACTATAAAGGTAGGTGAGTAGTCGTTTCATATAATACGAAATCCCCCTGTACTAAATAGGAAAAGAGACATGACTATTCACCCAATTGGGTTGTTTATTCAGGCAACTACATTTGATTCTATTCATTTTCCACATAGTCTACACACACACACGCACTAAATTTCAACCTCATTACTTCCTATTATATATGTATACATTTTTCATAATCACCTTCTGATGCACAAATTAATGTAATGATGTGTCATATAGAATCACCTTGATCAGAATAACATGTCATTGACATGTTCAGACCCATTATGATTTTGATTATTTTAAAACTATTCTTCATTGTTTCATTTGTACTGCATAAACTTGTGTTAATTTTATTTCTTTCATTTGTTTACTCTAAAGAAGTGATTTACATGAAGTCATAAATCATCACAAATACAATTTCTACTCATTGGTAGTTACCGAATAATCTCACATTTTGAGTAGGACATCATGAGAAGTGAATGAACTGTACACTACGCACATAAACTAATTTTTAATACACATGATATATATATATATATATATATATATATATATATATATATATATATTTATGTTTACTTAAATACTTAATAACTTCAGCAAGTTTATTAAACTAACTAGTTAACGATAGTTTATTAAATTACATGATTCATTTGGTTCATGTTTTTTTCAACTATCAATTATAATCTCCTACTGTCAAACAACCACAATAAATAATAATTCCGCATATACCCACCTTTAATGTATTCTGGACCACCATTCAATGGTTTTAATGTCTAACCTCAACTAATCCACGAAATTGCGTGACCATCTTCCTTTGTACTGAGGTTCAGTAGGTTAAGCGTTCGCGCTCGAGACTGAAGGCCCTGGGTTCGAATCCCGCGAGCGGGATCGTGGATACGCACTTCTGAGGAGTCCGACGATAGAACGAAACGGTCTTCCAATGCTTCCAGGTTT